TCTCTCTCTCTCTCTCTCTCTCTCTCTCTCTCTCTCTCTCTCTCTCTCTCTCTCTCTCTCTCCAACGAGTCGTTGGAAAAATCCTCTCCATCTTCCTTCACATCCCTTCGAATCTTTTCATCCTCGTTTCCTTTCTTTCTCTTTTTTTTTTCTTTTTCTTTCTCGAATCAGACGAATCAGACGAGAGATGCCCCAGGCATCTGGAAGAGAAATAACACGCGCACGCGAACTGACTAATCGCGTGTCGTTCGCGAATGAGAGGAGGGGAAGGAGGAGGAGGAGAGACGTGCGTCCGACTGAATTGGGAAACAAGTTTCCGCGGAACGATTATCGACTTCCGTTACGTCGAAACCGTGTCCCCCGATTCGCCGCCATCGCCATTATTCTCTCTCTCTCTCTCTCTCTTCCTTCGCGTTCCGCACGCCATCGTTATCCGGATACGTAACCGTACGCGTGTTTGCCCCGTTTGAACGGAATCGAAAAAACGCGGTTGAAAAAAAACCCGAGTACAAGTCTCGTTTCCGCTCGAATCGGCCGCCATTACCACTTCGAAGCCGAGAGGGAGGGGGGGAGGCTTTATCCAAAGTTTCGAAATGGAAAAATCCAATTTTTCTATACAGCGCATATCAAATCGATCGTTCAGAGCGTTTATCGAAGGGAAGGATCCGAATTGTAATTGGCTTCGTTGCACGAAAAACATGGTTGCCACGAAATCAATCAGTTTTTTCGAGCCGGATTTTTCGTTCAGAATCACGTTCTAAAGTTCTAAGTTTTTCGCGAGATAAAATATGGTACCACTTTTGGGGAGCTTGCTTTCGCCATGGATGAAAGTAGGATGTATATATATATATATACTATATGTATATATACGTATACTTTCTACCGGTGGAACGCCATCGAGAATGTTTCGCGCATCGACGAATTTCGCTCGAATTTATTCACCCATTGTTCCACGCATTCGTTCTTTCCCTCACATATATATATATATATATATATATATATATATATATATGTACGTAGATAATACGTAAGACGACGTATATTTTCGTATTTCTTTTTTTAAATCCGAATGTTGTTCGCCGTAATAGCGTTGCCGGCTTTTTTAATTCGTTCCGTATAGCATTTCGCGTATAATACGCAAACGTCTTAACGGACTGTGGAAACAATCCCGTGCGAGCGTATAAATAGCCGATGACAATGCCGGGACAGAGAGATGAAACGCCAATAAGTGCCTTTCACTTTTCAAGAATGAAGACGACTTTATAGCACCGTGGTATATACAGTGAAACGCTATAAATAAACCCGCGTCGAGTCTCGCGCTTTTGTACAATTTTGTAACGCGGACAAACCGAGGCGAGGAAAGAAAAGAAACGGCGTTCGCGCGATTCAGCCCCGGACGCCGTACGCGGCGACGCAACAGCAACGCTCGAGCCGAGTGGAAAGGTGTTTAATTTATGCCTTCCGCGTATCCTTTGTTCCGCGGATGAATTCGACCGCTAATAAAAACCATCGGTTGGACATTTACGCATCGACGATTTCTCTCCGCTCCCCGAACCCCCTTTTTCTCGGAATCGTCATCGGCGCGATACAAGCGGGAACAAGAAACGGGAAAGAGGAGGGGGGGATAGGGGGAGAGAGGAAGGGAAAATCGCTTACGGCGAAAAAAGCAAAAAAAGCGGAAAAAATGTCGGAGCCCAGGAAAAGGAGTGGAACCTTCTCCCTCTCTCTCTCTCTCTCTGTGCGCATGTCGGTGATATTTTTTCTTTTTTCTTTTTTTTTTTTTTGCCTGCTTCGTTTCTGAAGCAGAATGCGAAAGAGAAAGTGTAAGAGACGATAATGCGATGTTGCGTCATCTTTAATTCGCGTGAATAATAAATTGCATGTTTTTTCTTTTCTCGCGAAATATTTTTCCGGTGAAAAAACACGGTGGGTAAAGTAGCGAGCAAATAATTTACAGAAACGTACGCGTAAAGATACGCGTTCAACGTTTCGATCCGGTAGTCGGTATTTACAGAGGACGTTATATAGTAAGTACTTTCGAAAGTGAAAAGGATTACTAAGGAGTATTAATATCTAATTGGATATTCTTATTCACGCGGAGAAAGAGAAGGAAGGAAGATTAGGTAGAGAGCGAGAGGAATTTAGAGAGAGTATATATATGTATATAGTATATCGTAGTATATAGATAATATGTATATCGATAGAGTTGGATAATTCGATGCGCGTCGATCGGCGGGAAGCGGCATGCTTTAGATGGACACGCTCGATAGAGACGTAACAGGTGTGGACGGAGCGGGAGCGGGAGCAAGAACGTGGCCACACGTCCGTTAACCCTCGGACTTTTCGAGAACAAGACGCGACAACGCCTCTCGTTCTCGAGAGAGAACGGCGAATGTCGTGGGACAAATATACCGTTTGACACCTGGAGGAAGACGCGGACAATGGTAAGGTTTGGGGTAAGGTCCCCACTTTGTCCGAGGAATAATAAAGTTCCCGGTGCAGAAGGGATTCGGGATATCGGACGGTAGGTCCCTCAAAGATCGCTTCTCGGAAACGTGTCTTTGTTGGCTCGGGTTTGCGGTTCCGAAGGGGACACACTCGAACGCTTTTCAAACTGCGACCCCCTACAGCGATTTCCATCTTGTACTTCGTACCGTGTTTCTAGATTTATCGTGGAATAAACAACCGCTTCGTGGAAACGTTATTACCGGGTGACGTGACTCCAGCCGCCGTGCTCACAATACCACCGCGATCGCTTCTTTACCCTCCCTTTTTCATGAATATCGGCCGACAATCGGTTCGTTTGCCACGCTTCGCCAAGACAATTGTTTTACCTGGAAACCTGTTACGCTTTTGACAAACTGTACAATTTCTAAAACGCAAAGTAACACGCCGGCTTTTCAACGTTTATATGGAAAACCGTCGTCTCCTACGTGCTACAATACATATACACTCGTAACTACGTATATTTTTCTCCTCCAACACGATTCTTCTTTCGAATCGAACATATTAATAATGGCGATACTAATAATATTAATCAATCTAATAATTTAACACATATTCCTACGATGAAACGCTAGAAAGATAAATAAATACCGCATTGATGAGAAGAACGGATACCCTTCCAGGTATTCGAGTCGAGTTAGGCACAAAAAAAAAAAAAAGTAACAAGAAATTGCATCAGTCTACACGAATGTCGAGAATGCTATTCAAATCGTGAAAGCGTGACTCACAACATCGAAGTAAAACCATGAGAAATTCCTCGACATTTGCTCTGTCTATGTTCGCAAGATGCAGCAATGCTATTTTTCCTCCTTATATCTCATCAACTCAACGTCAAAGCTTGAAAATAGGAAATACGCTGTGGCATCGCGAATAACGTATTAATCGCGATTCGAATCAATTCGATTAAACGCATCGTTTAACCTTCGTTCATCTTTCGAAACGAACGCACACTCGAGATTCTACGCGTTTTTGTATTTGTATTTCAATCGTTTACTCGTTTAATTATTTTTTTCTTTGTCATCTTTTATATGTTATATTTTTGAGAAAATCGAAGTAAAAAGAAATAACTTGACTCACCATTCGATGCTTCTGTATCCTCGAAGGCAGCAATGAAGGGCTTTGAACGCTCCGATATTTGCATATTCCGTTGTCACGACTTCTTTCGTAAATCTGAGACCACCAGGTGGTAAGTTGTCAAATTTGTGTATCGAACAGTAGTCTTTTAATTCGTTGGCCCGACACAAAACAGTCAAAAGCGACAAGATGATTAATCCACGGTTCAACGATGTCGTCATCTTGAGATTTCGACGAAAAACCAATTTACCAAAACGTTGGAAAAACATTTTAGACACGACGCTTTTCAAATCCGAGAACCTCCATTATCGGATTCCTAGAGTGAAAATTACGTCCCAACGGTCCAGGCTAAACTTTTCCGTAAAGGAAAACCGATCTCTTCCAGCCGGCACCGTTAACGTCTAAAGGACAAATACGCGGACTTCTGTATCTACGTACACGTACCTTCACCGATCCGCTCGATGTTTGTCGTCAAACATAAACTTTCGTCTACTCAGGAATACTGCGTGTTTACTCGGGATTTCAAACAGCTCTCGTCCCGCGTTTTTTTCGCGTTAACCGATAAACTATTTAACCGTTCAGTCACCTTCCGCGAAACCCATTTTAATTTTTCTCCCGTTCTATTTTCGACATCACTGCTCAATTATGCGAGGAGGGGAAGTGGGGAACTTTTTCGACATTTGCACGATCACCAATAATTTCAACCAATCATATATTCGTAATATGTATAGCGCGTCAATGGTCAATGGTCACAAATCCCGTGATTCGACACTTTTTCGACGATCTTTCCGATATTACGTCACTCGCAATAATCACGATACTGCACATCAAATTCAACCGTATAAATAATACGTGGCGTTTTCGAGAAGAGAAAAAATAACGAATATCGACACCTAGAACAATCGTAACGAAACGTATATTTTCACCGAAAAGAAACTATCGACATGTAAACGTACAAACGACGCACACGCTCCGAACGCCAACGGCTTACTGTCAGCCTACCGCTTTGAAAACTCCCCGTAGACCACGGGTTTAAAACGAGCCGCCTGTTGCCTCGTGCTCGTTCGGCTGCTTTCGGCTCTCTTCGGACATCATCGATGGAACCGTACCGACCGTACTACGGTCGCATGTAATCGTTAGTTCTATTCTTCCCCCAAAAAACATTGGTGATTTTCTTTCTTTTCTCTTTCTTTTCAATATATATTGCACATTCGAAATTTTTAAAGTTGTACGCGAGATAAATATCGTGCATCGTTTACGATTGAACGATTAATCGATCGTTGTTTTCCATTTTTTGATTATATTTATTCCTAATTTTAGAAAAAAATGTTATGTTATGTAATCTCTAGAACTAATCGATAAATCTATAAATCGATACATTTTTTACGAGATTCTCGTTTGAACATCAACTCGATGCAAACTTCATTAAATACTTATTCACGTGAGTAATTAGTTTGCTTGATCATATTATTAATATTATTTTTGACGTCAGAATATATTATGTGAATTTTGTTGAGGTTAATTGAAAATATTCTATTTTGCACGCTATTATACTTCCTTATTTATAAAAATAAAGTTTTCGTAAGAAAATCGTTCGAAACCTGGAAGAACACGTTTGTAAGTGGTTACTCGCCTTATTTACCTTTACTTACTCAATTCGAAGAACATGTATGTATGTATACATACAGATAAACAAATAATCAAGAAAATTTTTGCATTTTTTGAACGCAATATTTGACATTACGTATATATCCAGAAAAATAGAATGTGATAATCGTTATTCGAAACGACGCTTCGATACATATGTAAATATATATCGATTTCGAAAGAAATTAGATTAAAATACAAGAATTTCCGTGAATACGATAACTTCAAACGTATGTATGTATATTTAACAACGTTGCGGACAGATAATTTTTGTTCGGATAAAGTTTTGTTCGAGGTAATTGGACAGTGCGATATCGTTCGGCGAATTAATATCAATCTTTCGAGAATTTTCTTACTCATAGAATATTTTATCGGTATATATATTTGATATACCGATATATCGCGTAGATATATACTCTATCAATTTCTTAACTCAATTTTTTTTTATTTTACAGTCGAATGAGTATACTTTCCCCGTTTTTTCGCGGATGATCGTCTCTATACGATACTGTGGTTCCTGATTTTGCAGCAACGAGTAAGAACAACGCGTTACGTATAACTTAACTTTTCACTCCGTACACTTACACACGGTTGCCGCTGACTTGCATTCTGGGAATTCGAGTATGCGGTCAGTCGTTTCGTGTCGTGTGGCAACGATTATACCGGATGATCTATGTCAGACTCGTATTTACGTGTGTGCAACCACCGCACATGGAAGAAACTTTTATGCGTGCCGACGATGAGTGTAGTCTTTCTCGTAGAACCAGTTTTTTTTTTTTTTTCTTTTTTTTTACTTTTTTCCTTAGAAACAGATTCTCGCGTAGCTATCGGTCCAACAATCGCTGATACGACTCGTTCGCAATTCGAAAGAGTAACAAAGAAGGATCGAAGATTTCTTCGTTCTTAAGAAAACAAATTTATCCCAAAAATCAAATTTCGCCAATTTTCCGATTTCACTCTTCGGTTTTTTACTTTTCAAAGTAAAAATCTTTTTAGAAAAGTAATAAGATAAAAATATTGTCGTGGACGAGATAATATAATAAATTTGAATCGACACGAAACAATTGCATTATACGGTTATCGCGAAAGTTCCCGCGGTCGTTTTGGCGAAAATTTATCGAGGCTCGCCCTTCGAACCATACTTCAAAGAACAGTCGTGTTATCAATTAGAGTTCCGAGATCACGGTGTACGTAACGAAATTAATCTCCCCTTAATTAATAGCGTTAAGGCGCATCCAGCCGTGGTACGAGGCAGGGTACGAGTTTCCTGATTAAGACGATGATACGCGTTCTCGGAAGTGACAGTGGAGAAAGAGCCGAGAAAGGCCGTTTGCACGACCGGCAGACACACTTTATTGAAAATCTTGTACAATTAAAACCGCCACGACCATAATACACGATCATAATTGGGAAAGGAGATTTGAACCTTAATTTCTTAAAATTCTTCTCTCCTCGAGAGCCAAGTAGCTGGAATAATTGTCAAGAGTTTCGAATCGATCGAGACACTCTCGAGCAGAGTCGAGAAACCTTTACGAAAGACTTCTATCCAAAGCGAAAGAATATTTTCGATTTATTGTTATTTATTATATATAATAATAAATATATAATAATATATATATAATATATAATTATATAATATTATTAATATATATTAATATAATATTATTAATATATAAGCGATAGAATATTTTCGATTTATTGTTATTTATTATATATAATAATAAATATAATAATAATATAATATAATAATATAATATAATAATATAATATATATTAATAATATATATATTATTAATATATATTATACATATATTATAATATAAATATTATTAATATATATATATTCATTATTATATTTATTATTTCGCATGCCGTATCTGAATAACGACAAATTAGCCGACGGACGACACGCATTCTAAATAACCGGTAGACCGCGAACCTTTGTACTCGTATATATATATTGACGTTTCAACGGAAATGAGAAACGCCTCACGGTATGTTGCCCGTTTTCCCCGCTTTACCGAGAATTCGTAATTACACGGCACACACGCCACTTACAAGCGTTCTCCTGGCCTGCGCATACCGGGTGTCAAGCGGCCGAGCTCGGTCCGTGAAAAAAGAAGCCGCCGTTACGAGATTAGTCCTTAGACGGGGTACGGGTCGTTTTTACTTTCGCGGGATTCACAGGTGTCCCTCGAAGGAAGCCGTTTCGCCCATTCGACCGCTGTAATTGTCAGCCGCTGTCCGTTCCGCCGCTTATACGTATTTTCGCGTTCCAACGTAACTGGTTTCCTCCGAACAGCGTTACTTTTCCACGCCCCGTCTCTTCTTCTATCCTTTTCTCCACCACGAGAAGAAGAAACGATTTCGAGTTAACGATCGTTCATTCTCTTATCGATTTTTAAAATCGAAAAAAAGAAAAAGAAAAAATTTATTGCCGTGCGAATGGTGCGTGTGCCCGTTCGCAAACGCGTCATCTGATTATCATTGTATACGCTGATGATGATAGCGTAACGTTATATATCGCAATTGCATCATCGTTTCTTGGAAAAATTGTGGCGCGACAGAGGGGAGACAGAGAGTCAAAGTTTTTATTGTTTCACCTGCCGACGTGTCTCGAATGAAAATAGTCCGCGACGCGATCAAAGGGAATTTTTTTTCTCCTTGAAATTCGATATCGAGAGCTAAAATTAGGTTCATCGAACGAACGGACACTTGTTGCTCTTGTCGCGACCCGTACACTCGTGATAAATCGAAGAAATTTCTTTGTTGCCTTTATAACGTGAACCTTTCTTCGCCTTTATTCGAAAAAACTTTTACTTTACCTTGCTTTCACGGTATGTATTTAATTGGTATCGAACTAAGGTGGTACGCGTTAAAGTATCTTGATATCAAAGTCGATTTCTCAATTTTTTTTTATTCAATATTCGAGATGATAAAATATCCAATTCAATTGTTTTACTGTTTCTTTCTTTTTTTTTCAATAACGAATGGTCAAAATATAATCTCGAAATTTAGCTTTCGTCGCTCGAAATACGATCCATTCTTGCTCGAACGCATTGGAATTAATGGAAGAATACGTTTTATATATTCGAATTTATTTCTTAGACACATCAGATAATTATTAAACTTAATCGCCCCCAGAATCAACCTTTAATTATATCTATCAAATCTTTCAACGAGATATTATTGAGAAATTTGTTCAACGTGTTGGCAATAATCGGACTCGCGTAATTCGATATCTCAGTTTGATAATCGTCGAGTAATCCGGGTAATACCTCGGTAATAGCTTTGCTCAAAAGCTTGGATACCTCCTCGTCGTTGTATAATCCGGTGATCATGCACTGGAAAAATCGTAAAGTTTTTTGTCGTTTCAATTCTCATCCGTACATATTACGGAACGACACGAATACTTACATTGAATTCCTTTAAATGGGCATAGAACGTCAGATTCGAAATGTTTAGTTTGTTATTCTTTACACCCAACTTTAAGTCTACCGTTACGTTAAGATCTTTGATGGCCACGCTGAAATTAAAAAAGAAAGAAGATAAGATTTTTTTCGTCGTATTACGAATGTTGTATCTTGACCGATAACTTTTGAATAAGTTTGAGTTTGGAAAAAGTAGATAAATCGAGAAAATGATTCTCGATGCGATCCGTGAATTGTAGAAATCTATGGTATCTACATAGATATCGCGCGTCGATAATGTCGAGAATCTACAGGGCCGACTGTAGTTTTTAAGCTTCGCCATTTTATCCAAAGATGTGACTACTCGCATATCGAGAGATATTTTTCTTTTCTTTTCTCCCTCAAAAAATATAAACGATTTATAGAGATTAAGATTAAAAGATAAAACGCAATCTTTTATCAAACTATTCTATTCTATATGGATTATATGATTCATATATTCATATATTCGATTATACTCTATATCGAATAATAATAAAGAAAATATAAAACTTACCGGATGTTTCCATTACCGAAGATGGAAAAACTATCGACGAGTGTACCGGTTACATTGTAGTCGGTCATAATATTAATTTGATTGAAAAGAAGGCCGATGTTAGCTTTAAGACCAGCGAGCATAAAATCGCCTTGATTTACTTTGTAATCGGATAAACCATTGGAACGGAAATTCTTCAGTATACCCTTTAGCCTGTTCGAATAGGAAAAAGAAAAAGAAAAAAAAATCAACGCTACTTGTCATTCGACATTTCTGTTTTCAATTAGAAACGCGTATATACGCTTACGAGATCAAACCCTTCTCGTTCAAATCGATACTCATATTCTCGATTTGAAGAGGATCGAGAACGGGAATACAAAGCTTGCTGTTTCCATTCTTTATATATTCCTTCAATTTTTCAAGAAATCCAACCAGCTGACCTCCTTTGTTCTCGTATTCGTCGTATTCGTTGTTTCCTTAATTCGGAGGAGGGAAAAAAAAGCAAACAATTTTCGATAATTCGCGGTTCGGTTTAAGATCTTTTAGATCAAGGATTGAAAAGATAAAAATCGTTGTTACACTTACGATATATTTCGATCACGGATGAAGCATGACAAGTGATCAACACGGTGGCTAAAACCAATACGAAGAGGCGCATCTTGCTAAAAATGAAAACGAAACGAAAGAATCTCTTCGCCGTGATTTGAAATCGATAATAAGATAAACGATAGTACAATTATTTCCAACTTTCGAAAATAAATACTCACGATTATTTTTTGATAAATCGCGAAATCACTATATGTTCGTGTGTCTCTCGAAATAGGTTCGGTTCGTTGATAAATCGTTCTTTATATACGGAAACAGTATCGTGCACTTGACTTTTAAGATCTCTTATCCGATTTATCGGGGAAAAGATCGATCAACTGATTGCGTTAAATTGACAAACAAAAAAATCAAGAAGAAGGCAAGGACGCGAAATTACATTGTTTGTTTTCGTTACAAGTGTCTCGTATCTTCTACCGCCGTGCATAATTCATCCAGATTTCCGACATCGACAAATTTTTTTTTTTTTTGTTTCCTTCTTTTTCCGCGTTCGTTCCGCGTTTCGTTAAATAATTATACATCGATATGCGTTATCACGTTTCGATAGGTGGTCACGAGCCACGATACGAAGGAATACGAACTCGAGATTGTTCTTCGAGTTTTTGATAGAGGAAAAAAAATTTGTCGCATCGGCGGATAAAGGACGAACCATAAATCTCCATAAATCCGGAAAGGTATCTGTATCTCATGTGGCCATGAAATTCGCGCGGTATCGATCGTTATGGCGTTATATTAAAATACTTGGTTATTGGACGGAAGGTTCGACGAAGGCAAGGCCTTCGAAGGTAAGCCGGCTAATAAACTATCGACACGTATATAATAAATAATCGTGAACGGATAAGCCTGAGATTCTCCGGGAATGAAAGGAAGGAAGAAAGAAGGATTTGAGACTCTCTCTTGTCGTCCGTGAAAATTTATATTATGGGAAAAACTCGATCCTTCGTTTTTTCTTTTTTTTTTCCCCTAGGATGGAAAAGTTGGACGGATGTATTAACGTAACCAATCCCTGCCTAACGGCGAAGTTGAAATGATCGGCGGAGCAAAAAGAGCGTCTAAGGGGCGGAAGGGGGAGAGGAAAGAGGAAAAGAGCGGCGCGTACGTACGGTGGCGACAGCGGTGGTGGCGATGGAGGTGCCGTTCGACGTGGAAAGAAAAAAGGAAGAAGAAGAAAGGGAGGAGAGGAAAGAAAAAAAAAGAGGAAAAATCGGGATAAAGGATAAAAAAGAGCGGGAGGCTCGGGAAGCGACGGAAGATGGTGTGGAGGTGGAGAGGTAAGAGGCGAAAGAAAGAGGGGAGCGGCCTGGGGGTTGAACGGCGAGAGAGGGAACCGGTATCCCGGTAGGAGTGGGGGGTGAAAATCGAGTGGGGATGCCAGGCCAGTTCACCCTTACTTGGCACGGCTCGACTCGTCAGTGCGGCCTGAACGGTTAACCGGCCTACTTTTTCGCGTGGTTATTTCGATTCCTCTCTCTCTCTTTCTCTCTCTCTCTCTCTCCGTTCTCGAGATTTACGACTCGTCGTCGAGATCGTCGTCGTCGTTCCTCTTCGACTTCTCAACCCACCACCGATCTTCTTCCAGTATATACGCGTGATCGACACAGTGATCGAACCTAACTACCACCGCTACCATTACCATCGCTAAACAAGGATAGAGAGAAAATTTCTTGCCCCTCGATGAAGAGCCATTGAACACGGGATCATCGAAGAGGAGGGAGATCGTGGAGAGAGAAATCTCAATTTTTGGAAAGATTCTTCGGAAAACCAGCTCTCTGGGGTAGCCTCGCTTCCTTCTCATCGCTGGTGCTTGTTGTCGAGCTGGACAGGGCAGCAGAGGCAGGAGAATCGGCAGCGACGGTGATTGCTCCCTTACAAATTCGTGAGTTTTTTTTTTTATTATTCTTCTCTTCCTATTTCAATTTCTTTCCCCTCTCGAATTCTCTCGACTCCTCGTATCCGACTCGTTCTTTTTCACCCGTTTTTCATAACTGTCAATTTTCTTTCTCTACCCGAAAGAAATTTTCCCTCTATCTCTCGTTTCGAGAGATCCATCGTAGTTCGAATATCCCTTTCGAGCTATGCACGCATTTTGCAAAAGTACCCAAAATTTCTCTTTCTTCCACGTTTTGTTTATGTCCCGTGCCCACGCAATGTAAATAAAGATTTCACTGTCACATCGTTACGGGCTACGATTTTTTTTTTTTTTTGCCAGAAGTGTAGTACCACGAGGAACCACTTTTTAATTAAGGACAACTCACCACTAGTTCCGCGAGCGGACTCGAAACTTCTGCTCTCCGTTCCGCCTGCCCGTTCCTTTGTCCCGCGTAAGAAGAGGGCAGGTCGATCTCTCGAGGGAAGGATCGGCTCCCGTTGTGCGAACAGTCGAATCGAATAAGACGATAAGATCAACGGGATACGGAAATAGATCAGGGATTAATGGAAGCTTTGGAGTAGCCGAGTTTGGTAATAAATTTTGACAGGCTTAAATAGGAGATGCAGCCAAGGTCGAAGCTCGGTCTCGCTTTGATCGAGTTTAATTAGAAATATCGTAGAAAGAAAAAAAAAGAGTTTCCTTATCCCCCCTCCTCCCCCCGCTTTTCGAGGGCAGCAGCTTTTTTCCTCTTCTTCTTTCTCAACCTTCCTCCTCCTCCTCGCTCAAACAGAGAGAGCGTATTTTAATATTCCACGCACTTTTTTCCTTTTTTTTTTTTTTCTTTTTTTCTTTCACCGTGATCTCACGGGAAGGTTGAGAAAGAAATAAGAGGCTTGAATCGCGCGGTTCGTTGAAAAAGTGGAACCCCGTTTCAAAAGATTCGAATAAAAAATTTCCTTTCTCGCAGCATCTTCTTTATCGTCCGCGCACTCCCGTATTATTCCTGTATATTACACCTTCTCCGTGTTCGCGACAATTTTTCGCGTCAATTTTCGACGGGGAAAAGAGAAACAGCTAGGAGGATGAAATTCGAAGCGCGACCCAATAATAATATTTAACTTCTCTCGGAGAAAGAGAGAGAGAGATAGAGAGGAGGGTTAGAGAAACAAGGTTTGTGACGAGGAGAGAGGACACGTGACAAAAAAAGAAAATGGACGCGCGTGGTCAAGCGCGACTTACCTTTGTATCGAATATCAACGGTCGAAATGCTTTGCAAAAGAAAGAGAAAGAAAGAGAAAGAAAGAGAGATAAGATAGTATAGTTGGAATAGATAAAATGGACGGAAGAAAAGAGAGAAAGAGAGAGAGAAAAAAGTGGTGGTGGGGGACGGGTTAATGTAAACGTTGGTGGACGCACACGCTGGATGGCCTTTGCTTCTCCTTTTCAGAACTTCGCAATCAGCAACGGACTAAAAATAGGAGCCGTGACCCAACTACGCTCGATTCCACAATTATGCATTTCCTCCCGTTGTCCGACGACTATTTTTCACCTACTCCCCGACCGAATCAATGCGCGACGTTAAATACAACACGTCTGTCGTCGCGACATATCGCCTATATACACCACGCCGCGATGTAGGTGAAAGTGAGGCGAAATTTTTCTCTCTTCTCCCTCCCCTCTCCCCTCGCCCCGCCTCCTTAGCGTCCAAATTTCCTCTAAACGACGGAAGGGGGCGAGAAGTCGCTTCTTCGAGCGAGACTATACTACTACTCGACTATATGTATATATATTAATTACCTTTGCGCTCGACGACTTTTTCGGTCGAGAGCGAAATCGAGCAACTAAAGATGATTTTNATACTACTACTCGACTATATGTATATATATTAATTATCTTTGCGCTCGACGACTTTTTCGGTCGAGAGCGAAATCGAGCAACTAAAGATGATTTTGCGCATATGCGAGTATCTTAGGGATAATATAAAAATAATTAGATTTCTTCATAAGTTCATTCTGAACTATTCGAATCTTGCGGGGTATCGCTATCACTCTTTTAATTTTTCTTAATATCGTGTGGCTATCTCTATCATTCTGCTTTCGTTTTCTCTATCTAATTCTTTCGTGAACACGATCAACCTCGTTTCTCAACGGTTCTCAAATCAAATTCATCCTCTAATTTGAAATTCATTTTTTTTTTTAGGGCTTCTGAAACTTATGATATTTTTACCAATGATTTTTGTCGAATCTGAAGGAGACTAATTGACCATCTAATTTTGATGATAAATTTAGATCGAGTATCTCCGTTTTAAATTATAAAGTTTACAATATTTTCGGACAAAGAAATAAATTTATTATTTCACGCTCTTTATTATTTGGAGACAACGAAATCTAATATAAATCGCTCGTCGAGAATTCGTCAACTGTAAAGGGTTAACCCGAAGCGACGAAGCCTTGAAAAATTAATAAATTCGTTCAATTCGTTGAGTGGAAAAAAAAAAAAAAAGAAAAGACGCGCATCTCGTTAAAGACGATACGAGAGCGGCGAGATCAACGGTCCGATACGGACGTTGGCCTTTATCCGCGGTGGATATCTGCGCGCGTCTGCGAAATTCTTCCAGATCCGCGATAATCTTTAGCTTCGATTACTCGATCGTTCCTCGAAGCGAGAAGAAGAGAAAATGGGAGAGGAAAAAAAATAAAAAAAAAAAAGGGGGGGGGGAAGTAGATAAAAAGTTAGTCGGAACGAAGAGCGAGAGCGAGTAATGTAAACTGCTGCGAAGGATATTGGGGGCTCGCGTTGCTTTAATGGAAGAAGGTAACTGGAACTGGGACCAGCTGGAAACGTTAGAACGTTCCATCGCGCTGCCACATTCTCTCCTTAGATCCTTATCTAACCGGGTTAATACATCCTTTCCTATCCCCTTAGCAGAGCTACCCCCACCACCTTCCCTTTTCTAGGTCCTTTCCGTGTCGGCTGACACGTAACCGTTTATATAGAACCGTTTCGGGCTCGCGTGACCAGACTCTGGATCGCCGTCATCCGTCTCTATTCTCCTAATAGGGGGTGTAGATCGAACGACTCTCTCTCTCTCTTTCTCTCTCGTTCGAATCTCTTCTTCGAATTTAGGCCGAATTTTTTGGCGGCTTTGTTATCCCGCAAACGTGCTGTCATCGACGACATTTTCCTTTCTTTTCGCTTTTTCAATTCGATCTCGTGAAAAGGAACACGGACGTGGTGGATCGAATTCCAAGTAAAACCTGCGGCTCGATCGAAAGTGGAACGTCTGCCATCCTTTCCTGTATTCCGCTTGTATCGTTATCTAATCGAGTCGATCCGCTTATTCCCCTTCAGACCGACTATTCCCCTTTATTCCTCGTATAAATCGAAAAAAAATTACATTAAAATAGTAATATATATATATCTTTATATCTCTCTCTCTTATCCTTTTCTCGAACTCTTCGATAAGAGACTCGTGGAAGAACCACCCACTCGCGTAGGTAAGATAGTTTGTCACGATGTCCGTCACAATGGACGATTGCGTAAGAATCGAGATTATAGAAGGGGGGAGGAGGAGGAGAGAAAAAAAGAGAGGAGGAAAAGAACAGAAGTGCATCCGGCCACGAACGATTTTTCTTTGCACCCGGAGCTGCATTGCGGCTGCAGCAGTTTCCGACGCATTGCCACCGTGGTGAACTCTTCCCTCGAAAGGCTGCATCGAAAACTCGACCAACTCTGTTTCCGAATCGAATACGAATTCTTCGATTCTCCTCTTCCATAACGTAATGATCAACGTTAATGTCTCTCCCCTCCCCCTCCATTCCATTTTCACGATTTTCATTCCGACGTCGCGTGAAATCTCTCTCGAACGAACGAAGAAGGAGAAGGTGGAGAGAAAGATTGGAAAGAATCGACGTTTAGAAAGAATGGGAAAAAAGTCGTTGTGTCGGAAGTGCTCGTCTGAAACAGAAAATATTTTTTCAACCGTGTTAAACGCGGGGAGGAGCATCGACTCGAGTAGCGAAAGCCTCTCGGGGAAAGAAGAGGAGGAGAGGAGACCGGGTCTCGTTTTCCTTTGAGCCTGCCGATTAACACTCCACTCCTTATACGTGCCGCGTGGTCGTGTTCCAACAGCTTTTTCAATCCGCGTGGAGAGAGGCTTTTCCGCAAACCTCTCTGCGACGACACCTTTCCATATTTTTTTTTCTTTTTTTTTTTCTCGAAAAAAAATCACATCGTCTCTTTATCATCGTATCGTTGTCAAATCGCATCGATCGACTCGTTAAATTATCGAGAGAGAAAGAATGGAAACCGTGCGTCGATCGAAGGAAGCATAATATCTCGGTGTCTGGCTCGGGCTGGCACTTAAACTCCCAGCTTTCGATCGTGACTCGCGTCAACCAGGGATGATGGGGAAAATTTAATAGTTGAAGTTACGAATAAAGTTACTTCGATAAGTTGCTTCGATAATTTATCGTTCAAAATATAATAATAATCGCGAATAATTGTAATGGAACGGCCGAGATTATATGAAAAGTGGATCGACTATAATAATATTATTAGGAATAAATATTATATCAAGCGTTTTAGTAAGTAATTACTTAAAGTAACGCTTTATTCGAAATTTTTAACTAGATACATTTTCAACGTTGGTTAATGCCCAACTCTGGTATCAACTTTCCGTATATCGTTTCGCTTCACGTATATTAATTTAAATAATATACGTATAGAGATTCACTCAAATAAGTTCTATATGTATTCTATATAATACAATTTGCGTTGAAAACGTTTAAACTCGATTCATAGATGTGAACGAGAAAAAGAATCGGAAAGAAAAGAATTATCCGAATTATTCGTTCGTCAAGACTCCTATTATTTGTTATTATTTTAACTGAGGAAGCGGTTGGTCGAAGTCGAGTCGCGAAACGGTAACGAGCCGTGAAACAGTGCCGTCGCGGTTTAAGAAGAGGGGAGAAAGAGAAAGAGAAAGAGAGAGAAAGAAAGAGAAAGACCTTTCGTTTTAACGACTTGCTTAAAGACAAGCTTCGGACACGAGTACGAGGTTGGCTTGATATTTGACTCGAGAAATCGGGTCAAGGATCATCATCATTGCTACCTCGGAATCCTAATCCTTCGAATTTTATTCGATCCTTTATCCTTTTCATCTCGAACCATCATTAAGTTCTTACTCTTCTCTGGATTACTCATTATTTCCTAAAAATGCGAAAATCGAACGAATATAATTTATAACTCGACGCATATAGGAGAGAAACTGTTCCATAGAGATAATCGCTTTGGATCTTCGTGGCTGTTCCGCCAACCGTGTATTTGCACGTGCTCTTCTCCACCCATACACATACACGTACGCTTACACGATTGGTGGGTCCATACACACGTCCTTTGTACGCGCGCCAACCCATAAATGTGCGCGCATACGGTTGCAAGCACCGATGTAGCTTGTACTGCAGATACGTTGCGGTTCTGCCCTCTACCTCTATTATCATCGTCATACCCCTCGCAGGCCGAAACGTGATACATTGTTCCTGCCAAATTCATGCAACCACCGAAAATTTCCACGGCATTGTGCGAAGGGGGGAAACAACAGAGGGATAGAGAGTGAGAGAGAGGAGAGTCCTGGCCTCAGGCCGTCCGATTATTCCGACACGTGACGGTGTGCGGCGATGCCGCTACTCCCCCCTCCTCCTCGCGTCCTGCATCGTTCCACTTTTTCATTTAATCGCTCGAAATCAACAATTTCCCCCTCCCCTCCCCCAATTTTTTTCTTTCTTTCTCTTTTTTTTTCCTCTCCCTCTCGAATAACCTTGCACACGGTATTGTTCCCACCGATTGTTCCTTTCTTCCTTCCCCCCTTTCTCCCAATTTCGTCCGCCTGACTGACCGAGCAAAAATATTCTGACCGATCGTTTTTCCAATCCGTCCGACAATTCGGCGTTTCAGCGGGATGATCAACGGATAGAAAGTAGGAGGAAAGTGGTGGGAGGAAGAGGGATTTTCAAAGATTAAATCCGCTTGTTTGTCGTTGGTTTTATCTCGGTCGAATTTCTCGTTACGTCGTTGGAAAATTCGCTGACGAAAATTCATACACGCGACCGCCTCCCCCCCTTACGAAGCTTATTCGTTTCGAGAAGACGACACCGTTTTTTTTCATCCGTCTGCGAAATCGAATTCGAGACAAAGATAAATTTTCTTTTCTTTTCTTTGAAGAGGAATGAAGGAAATTATCAAGGATCGGACACTTCATCCGCAATTCGCGTGCGGATGCTCGAAGGAAACGAAAAAAAGAAAGAAGGGTTAAGTGGAACGCGAAACTTTGTTGGATGCGCCGTTTTATCCGCAGGATGGTGCACGTCACTCTACGACAGGCTAAAACCTGGTATGTGTATCAGGGTTATGGATGGCCCATGAGCACGCTAACCCAGTGACATCTCTAGGTCACCACCACGGTTCCCAAACCTCTTTGTCTTTCTCTTCCTCCTCTTCCTCCTCCTCTACTACGTTTGCTTTTGCCAACCTTCCTTTACTTCCTCCCTTCTCTTTTTCTTCTTTGTTTTCTTTTTTCTTCTTATCATGCTTTATTTCCATATATAAACATTTCATAACTCGATTTATATATGAGGGAGAAAGGAAAAAAATAAAAAGAAAATAGATCGATGGAATTTATCGCTAATTAATTTATTACAAGCGAGATACGAAGAAAGATAAGATAAGGGGATTAGAATGAAAGGAATTTCACTACGGTACGTGTTCTCGGTGAATGAGTTTTTTTGAACGAGGAGAAGTGAGGAGAGAGGAGCGAAAAGGTTCGAAGATAAAGATAAATCGATAATTATTGCAAGATGGTGGGGATCGAAATCGAGGATTAACACGTAAATAAATGCATCCTTACAGCGTTCGTTTCATCCCAAGTTCCGTGACAAAGTTTGCGGAATGGAAACAATCCTTGGTTTCGACCATGGCCCGAGAAAAAACTCGTGCTAGAGGTCGAATTCTTTGGCGAATTAAATAAATAAAAAAGTTCCCCTCTCTCTTTCTTTCTCGACGTAAAACGTGCTTTCTGAATTTTTCCTCCTTTCAACACTTGATCGGAAAAAATTGCGCGTGTAGAGAATAAAATTTGGTTTTCGAATATTTTTCGAGAACCATCGAAACCGTTAACGTTTAAATATTTTTTCGAGGACGAACGGGCGACGAGAGAAACAACGATTCCCATTACGAGTGGCAGTTTCGTTTAAAAGCCGGCCCGGCATTGTTTCCACACAAGCGATGAACCGTAAACTCAACTTTTTTACGTGGACGATGCCGTCCAAACGCTTCTTACCACACCGTTGGTTCCAACGATGAAAATCTTCCTCTCTCCCTCCCCTCTTGCTCTCTCTCTCTGTCTCTGTTATCTCGGGAAAATAGATCAAGAGAGATTTGTGATTTTTTTTTAAGATCCGAGAGACATCGATTCTGACGTAGATAAGATAAAATACGATTGTTCGGTATATAAATTTGCACTAGCATGCAGCGAAATTATCCGTGCAAGATTATAAGATAATATTTTTCTTCCATTGTTATATACAAAGAAAAAAGGAAAAGAAAAAAATATTATTATCGATAATGAAATTACGCGTGTTATTTACCGTAGTGGCGAAAATATACAATCTTTTTTTCTTCTTCTTCTTCTAAAATTGCATCGCCGCGGGCCAGAGTAAGCTGTCGCGATTGTTTCGCATGCGTGGAATGCAAAGCGAGGTCAGGACCTGGCAGGAAGCTGGTAACTGTCATCGCGATAAATACTCTCTCTGTTTCCGTGGCGTGCTGTCGCGCGATATTCCCAACAATGAAAAGAGGAGCTCCCTTTCTCTCTCTCCATCCGGAAAATGAATCTCCTTTGGGAAATCTTTTCCCGCCGTCCTTTTCGACGAGACTCGTCTCGCCTCGATTCCGACACGGTTTCCTAAACAAAGCTCCTCCTCCCCCCTCCCTCCGTCAAATCCTCTTTATCTTTTCTCTTGCTTTTTGAAAAACAAACTCTTTTCGAATTTTTACTTTTACATAATTATATACAAAACGAAAATAAAAAACCAAAAACTTTTATTATAATCGCGAGTTATCGAGCGTCGATAATTATCAAGTACGGGGGAAGAAAAAGCGAATATCTCAGCGATGCGATCCAAATTCATTATCCGCGTTCCCGGGAGGGGGGAGGTGCCGCCACCGGCGTTGAAATGAATTTCGAAAGTGGGACGTACGCTTATTAGAAATTCCTGGATTGTTCCGCGCGCATGTATATATCCCGGTTTTATTTGCCCGGCCTGTCGTAATTCATGGGGCAGATTCTGGTGGCCAATGTACCGCGTACATTGGAGGGAAGATCGTAACGTATCTTGCTTTTATTAAAAAACGAACCTACCTTTTTTTTCTGCGATAGATTTTTTTCCTTTGTTTTCCTTCGTAACAAATGATAATCTATTACGTGTATTTTCACAGAGAAAAGAAAATTCCTGGAAATAAGCTAGAAATAACGACTCTTAATGGAGAAGATACAAAGAGAGATCTTGTCTCTGGAAAAGATTTTTTCTAAGAAAAAGACACAATTTCTCTCTATCTTTGTTGAGATCGTATTTTTTTGCTTCTGGAGGAAATTTCTCGATTCTTTTTCTTAGAATCACCCTATTAAATTTGTTCGAAATTTTGGGAAGCAAAATGATCGTTCTTTCGACGAGCTAACGATCTCTTCGAATTTTTCCACTCACGATCGCCCGATCTCAATTTTTTTTCCACCGATTTTGCAGCCAAGAGGCGATGATCCGTGAACTTGGAATGTAGACGGAAGGGCGGGAAAACGGATCTGCCCCTCGCAGCATCGAAAGAAGGGCTTTTCCTCCACTTCCGCCATTCGTCTTCGCCGTTACCTCACCCTTAAATACCACCCCCTCGATCACCGCATTTGGACTTGAACACTGTAAGTAACTTCCATTTTTTTTATTCTCCTTCGTTTTGACACGGTGGTTCGAATAAAGTAACTGGACAAAATTATTTTTTTCCAATTTTGATATGGAGATTTAATTTTTAAAAAAATTAACGATACTGCTTTTTTTTACGATTTATCATTTAATTAAAAATGAATATAACATAAAAATATGACTAAATATAATACATAATAATCGATATAAAAAAATATACGAATATACAAATAGTTGTGATTCGAATTCTTCGAAGGAACCGCGCGAAATATCTACGTGGTGGATATAGCGAAAAAGTTGTAGCAAGCAATTATCTTAGAAAGCGCTTCGAATTTCACAAATTAGATCTTGGAAGTATTAAAATTAAGTATTGAAAAAAGAAGTTACGATTATTTGCTACAGAATGTTCTCGTCAATCCTATTTTATAAATTATTCGATATAAATATAAATAATTTAATGAAATGACGATAAAAAAGATAAAACTGAAAATTATAAAAAAAAGCAGTAATAAAAAGGCGTACCGATCGCTCAAAAAATAAAAAAATTGTCAGTTAAAGTTAGGAATATTATTATATATATATATTATAATATAATAATATAATATGAGTTAAAATTAATCCATAAATATCAATGGCTAGATTAAATTAATTTTAAAAAAAAGTTATAATAAAAAAAAAAAATATAAAGTTTGTACTTTATTCGACTTTTATTCGTGGAACGTAACAAAAAATCATTGACAAATCGTTACATTGCGTGAATTTCTAATATAAAGTAATTATTTAACTTTACGTTTAATTTATAAAAAAAAAAAACAAAAATTTATTGATAATTTATTCTTAATAAATTTATAAAATATTTTTCAATTATTGAAACGCGACCGATCGGTTATCTGATTAGTTGTTTCCCTATGCGTATTTCATTTAATCTATAAATTTAAAAAGAGGATTTAAAATTTTAACGTATAGTTGTTACACATTGAAACAATTATTTTTTATACATTTGAAAATGAATTTTGTCCAGTTAATATGCACTATTCGAATCACTTGTGGTATTTGCTTCAAAAGCAACAAAAAGTTTCGCGATATGTATCAACTCTTTCCATCTCTCGGCACTTGTTTCGTTCCCTTCTCTCTTTGGGAAAAATATCGAAGGAAATTCGTTGGACGAGAAGAGAGATGCGAGAAAACTAAGTAACTAATTTGGAACAGAGTCGAATAGCTCCAAGTTACCCTCTCTATATACGGATTGCCGGTCTAATTGGTACGCCGGGTCGGCCCATTCATCAACCCACGTCCAACGGAGTCGATTAATAATATCGCATCTCGAAAACACGTTTCTTTTTCGAAAAATGTTGAAAATCGAAAGCAAGATTCTTTAAAAAAAAAAAATATCTACGCGCGTATATAATTCTCCAAACACGATCACATAGAACGAAATTAACATAAACTACGAGAGAGAGAACGATTATTTTTCCTCTATCTCTATTCAACGTAATTAATTATAGAACGATCCACTTTGCGAAAAACGAGTACGCGCCTTCGCATGATTTATTCACCATTCTTTTCCTATTTTTAGGTTAATTCGTGTACGTAAAAAATATTCTCATCGTCGCGTCTCAATTTATATTTCTCTCATCGAAAGAAGAGAATCGATTCACAATATTTGTCTCCTATTCTATCAAATTATCGAATAATTTCGACGAATAAATCGTGGGGGCTGATAACGCGGCTGCATCCTTGCGATAAAACGGAACACAACCATGACCGGGAGGAGGCAACGCTTTTGATTTTGTCAGTTTAATCGACCGGTTTCCATTTCCACCCGCCGTGACAAATTTCGCCGCTGTATTTTCCGGGACACTCGCGGCAATTGCTCGTTACGTACGAACGCATACGTAATGGAACGGCATCCGCGTTTATTGACTGATACACACACACCTATATACACAACGATGCCGATCCCATTACATCGAAACATTTAAATTCGTTTTCTCGCGTTTTATCCATCTTTTCGTTGTGCAAATCGATATTTTCTCTCTATATCTCTCTCGTTGATCGAATGGAAAAGTCGAAATTGTTGGTGATTTATCGAACCGATATTGTAGATCTTTCTTCACTTTTGATTATCATAGCATTCGTGAACGAAAATAACCTCGAATCACAAGTTCGGAAAAGAAGGATTATTCGATCATTTTCTTCGTTAACGTTAACGATACAGTGTATGGAGAATGCAGCGAAGAAGAAAAAGGAGACAATTGACAATTAGGATAAATCGCGGGGAAAAAAACTAAATAAATAATTGACGATCGTAACGAACGTTGTCCCGTTGTGCTCGTAAGTTATCGCGGGTTGCACAATGCTGCCACCACTGCAAAGGGGGGCAACTAACTTTTTACGTCGGCACCGTTCACAGCTTCTGTGTCCGTCGATGCCTCGATAGAAAGGCACCTCGCGTCGTCCCGACTTTCTATCTTCTTCGTTTCGAATCGCACCCTTTCTCGTTTCGTTAAATCGTCGTCACATCGGTCAATGGAACCGATCCCATTGTTTTCACGAGAGAATAACAAATTTCGAAAAAGAATTCGAAACTGATCGTTCCCTTCGAGGGAAAAAAAGTTCGTCTCGTTCGATTTTGGGTAAGTACAGATTCAAATGTAACGGTTTAAACGAGAGAAATTTCGAGAAAATTCGATCGTATATTTTCGATTTTTTCGAGTAAAAAAACCGTAAAGGCGAGCAGCAGGTGGGATAAGCGTCCTCCCTACGAGGAAGGAAGGGAAACGGACGATCGAGATGATAAATTATCATTCTCGATGACAGCTAATCCGCTATTTTCTCTCACGAACGCTTCCGCGTGTAACACTTCGATACTGCGCGCACCACCATCGCTCCGCACAAACGGAACACGTAGAAGGAAATGACCAATCAACGCGGACCTTCGTACAGAAACGTCACGATATATTTCCTCCTAGAGACGCGTATAGGAAATACACGATTCGAAAGATGCGTGGAACGGAAAATCATCGAAAAATCACCTCAACGAAAATTCTTTACCGCGTGTTCTTTCAGGCGAGGAGACACGATGCCGAGAAACCGAAATTCCTTGACCAAGTTCGAGGTGCTGATGGTGCTAAGCTTAACGGTGCTGGTTCAGCTGGACGTGTGCAGGTGCACGCCTTCCCACAGAAGCAGACATCACGCGGACATGTCATACGAAGATACGATGAGCTTTCGAAGCGGCGAGGAATTGCCCAGACCGGCCGCCCTCAATTCGAACGACGATCCACTGATTGTTCAGACAAGAAAGGGCAAGGTCAGGGGTAAGACCATGACCGCCACCACGGGAAAGGAGGTCGATGCCTGGTTCGGGATCCCTTACGCGCAGAAACCTCTCGGTAAGTGGTTCTCGTTTCTTCGTCTTTCTCTTCAAAGCAACGTAAAAAATAATGAAAAAAGATTATTGTTTTCGTTGTTACAGAATCCTTGAGGTTTCGGCATCCAAGGCCAGCGGAACGTTGGTCGGGTATATTGAACGCCACCACGTTGCCCAACAGTTGCGTACAGATACTGGACACCGTGTTCGGTGAGTTCGCGGGCGCGACCATGTGGAATCCGAACACACCGTTGAGCGAGGATTGCCTTTACGTGAACGTCGTCGTGCCACGTCCCAGGCCTACCAACGCTGCTGTTATGGTATGGATATTCGGTGGTGAGTTCCACGCCTTTGTGTTTCACACCTTTTTCTCAGAGAGACGACGTTCCTTCACACGTGGCCTCGCTTCTTACTCGCGGGAAACGCTTATTTTCGACGCCGCGGTTATTTCTAGATTGTAGTACGTCGGTCGTTGTATTTTCGTCCATTGTAGGGACAACGTCAACAGGTGTTGTGAACGAGATAAGCGTTGTTCGCGAAGTAAAAGTAGAGTTTCTCTCTCTCTCTCTCTCTCTCTCTCTCTCTCTCTCTCTCTCTCTCTCTCTCTCTCTCTCTCTCTCTCTCTCGAATCGCGCAACATGCTTGTGCGTAGGTGGCTTCTATTCCGGATCGGCAACCCTCGACGTTTACGATCACAAAACCCTGGTGTCCGAGGAGAAGGTGATCCTTGTCTCGATGCAGTATCGCGTGGCCAGCCTCGGCTTCCTCTACTTCGGAACCCCCGACGTTCCTGGGAACGCAGGCCTCTTCGACCAGGTGATGGCCCTCGAGTGGGTCCGCGACAATATCGCCGCCTTCGGCGGCAATCCTGACAACGTTACCCTGTTCGGGGAGAGCGCTGGTGCCGTTTCAGTTTCCATGCACCTCCTTTCGCCTCTCTCAAGGTATATCATTCTCTCTCTTTCTCTCTTTCTCTCTCTATATTTCAAGGTTGATCCTTTACACACTCGTATTTATACTCGTTTCCAGGCATCTGTTCAACCAGGCCATCATGCAATCGGGCTCGCCGACGGCGCCTTGGGCGATCATCTCGCGCGAGGAGTCGATCGTGCGAGGGATCAGGTTGGCCGAAGCGGTCGGTTGTCCTCACGATCGCGACAACCTGCAGGAGGTGATCGATTGCCTCCGCGTCAAGGATCCGATCGAGCTGGTGAAGAACGAGTGGGGGACGCTGGGTATCTGCGAGTTCCCGTTCGTTCCCGTGATCGACGGCGCGTTCCTCGACGAGACGCCGCAACGATCGTTGGCCACCTCCTCGTTCAAAAAGGCCAACATCATGATGGGATCGAACACCGAGGAAGGTTTCTACTTTATCATTTATTATCTGACCGAGTTGTTTCACATCGACGGGTCCGAGGTAAAGGTGAGCAGGGAGCAGTTCATTAGCGCCGTTTCCGAATTAAACCCGTACGTCAATCAATTCGGAAGGCGTGCCATTATCTACGAGTACACCGACTGGCTCCGCCCCGACGATCCGCACGCGAATCGCGACGCCCTGGACAAAATCGTCGGCGATTATCAGTTCACTTGCAACGTGAACGAGTTCGCTGGCCGGTACACCGACACTGGGAACACCGTTTACATGTATTATTATAAGCACAGGTGAGAGACTGCGCGTCCTCGAAATTAAAACGTACAACGAGAAAGGGAAGGAGGAGGAAAAGGAGGAGGAGAGTGATCGATCTGAATCGACGATAAATCGATTTAACTTTTCCCTTCCCTTTTTTTTTTCTCTCTCTCTCCACAGATCGATGAACAATCCGTGGCCAAGATGGACCGGTGTGATGCACGCGGACGAGATCAGTTATGTGTTCGGCGAACCGTTGGATCCGACCAAAGATTACACCCCCGAAGAGGTGAATCTGTCAAAGAAAATGATGAGGTATTGGGCGAATTTCGCGAAAACGGGGTAAGTCGAAGAGCAGCGAAGCTCTTTCTTTCTCTCTCTCTCTTTTCTTGAAGAGAAGTTCGTCATACGTTTACTGTGTCGTCTCGACTGGATCCAGGGATCCGAACGTCGGAGACATGGACGTGTGGACGCAGGCATACTGGCCACCTCACACTGCCGCCAAGAAGGAGTACATGACGTTGGACACGAACAGCTCGGAAATCGGGAATGGACCTAGAGTGAGGCAGTGCATATTTTGGAAAAACTATCTTCCTCAACTGGTCGCCGGTACTTGTGAGTAAACTTCTTCTTTTCTTCCCCGTCCATATGTTTTCTCTTACCCTTGAATCGCGTCGAAGATCATCATTTTCTTCTTCCCGATGACACCTGTTGAATGGGAAAATACGCTTGGTCGAACCTTTGGAGGCGAGTCAATCGATTTATTTTTACCTACCGAAAGATTCTCGATCGAGTGCGATCAAACGAGAACACGAATAAGCATTCTTTATCTATTTCCTCTAATTTTCCTGTCTGGAAAATGGTAACTCGCTGCGAGAAACCCTGTTTCGTTTCCACGAGCGGAACATCGGCGAAAAATAGGAAATTTCGAAAATTGGAAATTTCTTGGCAGCAGCGATCTGAATTATTCCATCCCGATTACGCTATTACGGGCGAGTGCAATTTAATACGACGTTATTCATGATTTGGCCCCGTGCCATTCCAATACACCCTATGCATAAGGAAGAAACTTAATCCTTGGTTCGTATTACGCGGTGGCGAAACAGGTAAAATGTATTTTTTAAATGTCTCGGGAGTACTTTCCTTAAGAAATAACGACTTTGCCTTACCGGTTGTCTCTTGTCGTAAGTACTTACTGTTTATTTATAAAATGAAGTCTCGCGAAAGAAAACTTCAACGATCTATATTTTAACCTCGATGTATTAGGCATTCTTTAGAATCTAAAGAATTCTAACTTCTTATTTTTCATTAATATATGTAAGTTGATTACTATTTGTAACGATAGTTAATTCATAAATGTAGATAATAATTATACGAATATATATAAATATGCTTCGAAATAATTAATAGTTTCTATTATCCTTATATAACTTCATAAATGTAAATAATTTTTACGATTTCAAATATTCGAATAAGCTCTTCCACTAATAGCGTATGGTGTCAGGTTTGTCAACAAAACGTTCGAAGTAGAGATAAACGATCCTAGCGAAGGACCCCTCTTGCCCCTGTGCCGTCTCGCGAGACTTTTTTCCAACACTGAACGTATCTCCGCTATTGCCGTTTCGTCAAAGTTTCAAATTCAACTTCTATTTCAACATCTCTAACAAATTATTTTTTTTTAATTTTACTCCTTTCTTTTACTTCACATATTTTTAAATAAATTTTCTCAAAATTATCTACGATTAATATTTTCGAACATTATCTTATTAATCTTATATTTGTAACAAGTTCGATCTATTTCGAATCGTGATGAGTGAACACGAACGTTTCTCTTATTCTTCTTCTCAAGAGAAACGATTCCGTATCCCGTTGACTCCGACGTGGGCCAAACAAAATGAGAGGAGTGCTCGACCCTGTCGCGTGTCTGTACCTCGGGAAAAACAGGTCGCGGCTACAAGAAAATGGCTGCAAGCCAACCATCGACTATCCTGTTCTTCTTTGTTGTATCCGACGATATTGCGTCGCGCGGGCCAGCACGCCGCTCACCTAAAGTAAAAATCGCGGAGAGGAGCCAATTTTTATTGGCACTAACGTCGAACCAACGCTTCTTGGAAAGTTTCCCCGTTTCATTGCGGTATACGTCCTAACTATTTCTCGATAAACGTTTCGTTCGATGTTTTTTTTTTCCAATCCTTCTTTCATATATATATTATATATATATATATTAAGTTGAGCTTATCTCGCAAATCGAATTATCGCGATAAAAGTTTCGATTCGATTCGATTCGATTCGGATGGAAAAGAAAATTGGAAGGGAGGGTGCGTGAATAGTTAGATGAATAGAAGGGAATGAAAAGCGGCAGTGCAGCGAAAAATTGCAACTCTGACCGATTTTCTCTCTCTTCCTCTCTTTCCTTTCGAAATAACATCCATTGTATACGTAGAGAGACTATAGGTGGACGTATTCACGTTCAGATTCGATTCGGTGGACTCGGAAGCTCGACTATTTCTCGTTACCGCCGATTTCCTCGTTTCCTCGTAGGCAGGGGAGAAATCGAGAGGTGGGAAGCGAAGAAGGGGGTAAATAAAATGTCCGCATATGCGGCAGATGCGATCCTCCTCCGGTCTGGCGCATTGTCACCGTATAAATAGAACAACGATGTCGCGGCATTGCTTTATAATTACGTCGGTGGGCATGGAAAGGTTAACCGCACGCCAATGAAGGTAGAGGGTGTACGGCACGGGGTATACGCGTCGTTGTCACGAGCTCTAATGGCTCGTTTACACGGTAAACCATTGGCGTAACCACAGAGATACACTCCCCTCCCCCTCCCCCCAATAGTTCCAATATTTTCTCTCTCGTTTTTCGATTCCATCGAACGAAGGAAACGAAGTTTGCCCAAAAACGATCCAATCGACCAGTAAATCCATCCGATTACTGCTTACCTGCTAAACGAGAATTTATCGCTTCGTGAGACGGAGAGAGAGAGAGGGAGGGAGAAGGGGAACGGGAGCGGACGAAGGTGTCATTTTCATCATCGCTAACGATCCAAATTCGATCCATTGGCGTAACGCGTGTTGTAACCGTGAGACCGATTCCGATGTCTACCGCAGCCGTGACGTCACGGAGTTAAACGCACCCTTGCGTATCGGGCACGGATAGCAATCTATGCGGCAGAACAGGCGTTCCGGCACAGAGACAACGGTGTTCCAATCCGTTTTATTAACCCGTATCTTTTCGATTCGAAAATTGATCGATCGGTCGAAATGTAAGTACGCGGACAATTTCGATTTCACTTTTGTTGTTGTTTGGCATTCGATATTTCCGTTTTAAAAATTCAACTGAAACGGGATCGTTTAACATTCTATATCGATGTAACAGACGGATGAGTCGCAATTAATCTCTGAACACGGATGCTCGATCGGTGGGAAGCGAAGAAGGTGATATCGCGTATTATTCCACTCCGAGCATATACCGATTGATCATCCGTCGCTCGCGACAAAGAAGAAAACTGAACGGAATGATAATAGCTCGCTCTGTGCTCGAATATTCTAATTATTATTACATCGTAAATATGTAATATATAAAATAAAATAAAATAAAAATAAAAATAATATAAAAATAAATAATATAAAAAATATAAATAATATAAAATAATATAAAATATAATATAATAATATAATAATATATAATATAATAATATAAATAATATAAAAAAAAATAATATAAAATATTATATATTATATATTATATTATATTATATATTTAATATTATATATTATATTATATTATATATTTAATATTATATATTATATTATATATTATATATATATTATATATTATATATTATATATTATATAATAAGAAAATAATAATACGAACTTTGTACCGGTTTTATTTCTCGAGACATATTTCGATCTCGAAAACACATTTTCCCGAAAATTCGTTCGCGGGCAAAAGTTGAAGAAAGCACGACGGAATCGGTCGACCGACATTTACTTCGGTAAAGTAATTAAACGAAAATATGTCGCGTGAGAGATGGAGGATGGAGAAACTTGGAATTCGATTAATTCGGTTTTCCTCTTCCACCAACTTTTCCCATCGATCGTGAAATCGAACATACTCGTGGGAATAACTTCACTTCGGATGTTCATTCTCTCTCTCTCTCTCTCTCTCTCTCTCTCTCTCTCTCTCTCTCTCTCTCTCTCTTTCTCTCTCTCTCGATGAATTCGCATTCGGTTTGCTACACTCGAAAGGTGGATAAGAAAAAAAAAGAAAAAAAAAAAAGAGAAACTGGTAGAAGTAGAAAGGTATAATAGAGAGGAGAGGAGAGGGGGAGGGGAAGGGGGGTAAAGTTTGATCGGTGGTCGCACCTCGAAGAAAGAAAACAATGGAGAAAAGTCGGTGGAGGTGGCTCGACGAAAAGGGTAGTAGGGGTTTTGATCGCGGCACCCAGGAACGAAACGAACGGACGAGCAGGGTAAACGAGGGTGCGGGGGTGGAGAACTGGCCGCTCTGGCAAAGTGGATCGATGCCGCCGCGGCACGTCTGTGCGCGCAAACGTGCGCACGTGTGCGTACACACCTGTGCATACATGCATGCATGTACACCGTGATGCCGAGATGCGTGGAGGATGCGTTTAATTTCACGATTTCTCGCCGATAAAAAAAAAAAAAAATCCCCATCTACACCCATCTAAATCATCGCGCAAAGAAACATTCCGTTGGAAATCGAATTTTCCTTTCATTTATTGAGCGGCAGGATTTATACTCGATAAGCGATTTAAATATCAAAGTTTGCCAGAGTTTTCACGTTTGTTCTTTTTTTTTTTTTTTTTTTTTTTTTTCTCTGTTCGTTTTTACAGCGAAGCTGGAGCCGAAAGAGACGTGCAGCGGTACGAGAGTGAACGACGGTGGACGCTTGTTGTTGGTGTTGAGCCTGGTGGTGATCGGCACGCTGTTCAGCCACAGGATCGCGACTCGCGCATACGACGAGGTACCGGAGATATTCGATCCGAAAGGGTTCGTCTAGCTCGAGCGGCCGAGTCTCCGGACCGTCGAGGACCGCGGGGGAAGCCAATGGGACGCAGTCACGGGCCAGCGAAACGATCCACGACCTTTCGTACCGCGTCACCGACGAGTCATCGCCGACGAGCAACCCGCCGGCATCGGAGGCAAGAAGCGAAACAAACATATCATCAACGATGGGATGACGGAGAAGAGCGGTGGTCGATCGATCTGACGAGTCAGTTACGCTTCGGTAGTGAGAAAGAGAAAAAAAGAAAATTACAATTGAAAGATTGCGTTCGGTGACGAGGGGGGATAGGAGAGAGGCTAGATGGAAACTGTATACGCTGGACGAACCGAAAAACCATTTCGAATAGTTTCCTTGAATCGAAGTTTCTTCTCCGTCTTTTGTTTCTTCCTCGTTCGTTTCGGATTATTTTTATTCCCCTCGAGAGATCGAGCGTCGTGAGTAACTGGGATTGCGTAATGGGAGGAATAAGGATAAGGAAGAAGATAAGAGAGAGAAGCTTTATCTAATACGCGAATCGAAAGATATTTCGTTCCTGCCAACTTTCCCTCGATCGAGCGCGAGTTAATCGCGCTCTCTTCTTTATTAACACGGTTCCAATCGCGTGGAAACAGGTTACGAATGCGAGCCGCAATTCGATCTATATAACCCCGCGGCCGCGTATACATGCGCATGTTTGTAACGCGGTGCAGCCACTGCAGAGTCGATCGCATTCCAACAAATTGCGGAGACTTAAACGCCGTCGCATCCTTCGAGATACGCCGCCGTGGTTTCCCTTCTTCCCCCGAAAACAAAAATATAAACGAAGATTCCGTTCTCGACCAATCGGAAATATCACATTAATTTCCACGTAAAGTCCACGTTAACTGGAAATTGATTCCCTCCGCTCTTCCGAATCCAGTTCTTCGGATCGGAATCGCAAATTGGATTCCTTCCAATTTGATAAATTGAATGATCGCGCGAAACAGTCCATTTTCGTTTCGGTCGATCGGTAAGTAAGATTTCTTTTCTTCCGAAGAAAACACGTCGAGATCGTTGGCGCGAACGCTCCAGATGAACGCAGAGAGAAAGAGAGAAAAGAGAAGAGTCGTAAAATTTTACGACGCGACAGCGAATGCACGACTTAATCGCAGGTCGACCCGCGATCGAAAACGAAACCCATCGCATCTCACGCGCTCTATTTTTCCTCGCGCGCGACTCCGCCATCGATTTTACACCGGAATACGCTTCTATTCTTCCAACCGACCCGGCTACCGACCAAGGTCGAGCTTTAACGTCTCCTCAACCTCCTCCTTCCTCCTACCTCGAGTAACAACCGTTCTTATTTCTCTTCCAAAAGAAAAAAGAAAGAGAGGAGAGAAACGCTGAGCAAACTACTAACGTAGTCCAAAGTAACTGACGCGTGAAAAGAAAACAACAGAAGAAACGCAACGTCTCTTTTAACAACTTTTTAAACGCTAATTTCTTGTTTCACGTTGTCATCATGAGCGAAGAATTATATAAAGATATAATAGCTCCAACCGTTTGCCGCAAACATTTCGTTCCTTTCTTTTCCATTATTCTTCTCCTCGCCGAAAATCCACTTTGTTCGAAGAACGGCGAAAGAAATTGCCACTACGAAAATTGCAAATGATAGAAAGGAATCCCTTTCTTACTTAGGAATCTTCCAATCAGCTAAATCGTCTTTTCCTTTCTTTTCTTCCTTCCCCTCCCCCTCCCTTTCGATCGACAAAAGACAAGCCTTTCCAATCCCCTTTCCAACCTAGGACTGTTTTCATCCTCCATATCTCTGGCGCTTTGCCAGAACGAACCTCTCTTGCCTTGCTTTTTATCGGTATCCATCGAATCGTTTTCTCTGACACGGGATGGTACTCAATCGAACTTGTTCTTTCTCGCTTCTTTTTCCCTATCCTTTATCCTTTATCCTCTTGTTTATAATTATTGTTTATAATTATTTATAATTAGTTGATTTTGCTTATGGAATGGAATTAAATATTTCTTATAATTAATCAAAAGAAACACTTTCTTCAATTCGAAATCGCATTGATTCAATTCCTGGCTTGAAAGAATTAATAACAACGTGTATACGAAACGAAGATTTTTATTTTCAAATTACGTTCGATTTCGAGATGCGTTTCTAATTACTCTATATAATATTATGTAATATAGTTTCGAATTTGAACCGACGAGAGAAAAATAACCTAACCGCGTAGGTTTTCTCTCGATTTTACTAGTTACAAAGATTTGGAAAGGAACTAAATTGTATCGCCGCGTTAAACTCACTGCGATGATTTCGATCTGCAATATATATAACGTTATATATACTATATACATACACATAGCATGTATAATAGGGATACTGTTTAAAGACGGTACAGTTTGTTGCGTTGCGTGATCCATCGTAAAAGGAAGGAATTAATTACAGAATTTTTAATTAATTAATTTTTAATTTAAGTAATTAGAGAAAGAGGAAAAATATTCAGAATCAAAGATTCGAACCACTTCGATTTCGCGAACGAATCGATGCCAATTTTCTTCTTAATTTCAAAAGTGACGATTTTTTTTTATCCAAGATCCGCAAAATCGACGCACACACACACACACACACACACACACACACACACACACACACACACACACACACACACACACACACACACCTGTAGATAAAAGTTAAAGAATCCGTTGAATTCGAATTTTATTTTTCACATTCTCTCTCTCTCTCTCTCTCTCTCTCTCTCTCTCTCTCTCTCTCTCTCTCTCTCTCATTTCAGTGGTATCTAGATGAAGAACAATGTGATTCAAAAACGTGTTGAAAAGCGGATTTGATCGAAAGATATTACTTGCGTGTACTATCAAGAAACAACGTGAAGAATAAATTGAGAAGGAAAAATTTGCGAATTAAAAACGCGTCATTTTATCGTTATCGAGGATTTTTTTTCATCTTATTTTCTTTTTTTTTTTTCTTTCTCGCGAAGAGACGAAACAAAAAAAGAGATCTTGAAGGATTTTTTTTTACGCGCGATCGAACGAGACTCACGTTTTTTTATAAATCGTTTTTCGAAAAACTCTATTCCTTTCCACTTTTCACTCAACTGGAAACTCGCGATGGAACTGGTTTCGCCGAAAAAGAGAAACGCTTTAGAAAATAAAGATCGTGATCGTAACGCTGATAAAATAGGGAACAGTTGGAGATAAGACCAACGATAACGAAAGAATATATATCTGCTGTGCAATGTTTTTCTTCTGTAACTTTTGCCTTACAACATCATTATTATCGAGACAACAACGATCGAAAATAATCGAGGCTAGTAATCCGACTAATAATCCGACTGTCGGAAGAGGCAAAAGTGTCAGAATGATTTATTAGAAGTCTATACAAGGGACTCTAAACGATCTTCCTTCGTGGCGCCAGGCGCCGACGCGAGATTAAAGAACATAGGATAAAAGAAAAGAGAGAAAAAAGAAAAAAAAGGAAAAAAAAAAGAGAAAGAGGCGAAGAAGAAGAAGAAAATAAGGAATCGCTATCAGATATGCTTTTCTCATTCGTTGAATTTATAAACAAAAAAAAAAAAAAAAGAAAAAAAAAGAAAAAAAATAACGCGAAGCAACGAGAGAACGCTTGAAACAAATTTTCAAAAAGTGACGCGATAATTACTTGCGATAACTTTTCGAGTTTTCGCGCAACTAACTGTGACTCTATATATGTAATTTAATGTATAATAATCGCAACACGATAATATAATAAGTACCGACGGTCCTCCTTGTTCCAAAAGAGACGAAAACATCCAAATATCAATGGATTAAAAGAACGGATACAATAATACAGCGTACAATAATAAAACTCGTGTAAATATCATACACCCTAAGGACGTGTATATACCTTATTAAAAAAAAAAAAAAATAAATAAATCGTGTCACGATAAGATGTTACTTAAGAGGTGATCGAAACGGAAGATTGTATTCGCGTGTGTACCATGGCTGCCTTCGATGAAATAATCAAAAGTAAAGAAAGATTTCGCGCGATATTAATATAATAATGCAATACGTAGGAAAGGAAGGAAAAATTCGTGGGTGCTAAAGATAAATTTCGCTTTCTCGTACAAGCGAAACAAGGGGAAAAGGAGGATCGATGGGTATCGAGGAAAACATAACGGACAGACTATTTTTAGTGGAAATTTGTTTTTCCTTCTTTCCTTTATTAAAAGTCGAGAGAAATCTTACCTCTGTCAATGGGATTCACAGCGAGTCGCTGGAAAAGTAGCCCGCAGGCCTAAATACGCTCTAATTAATTACAAAAGAGAAACAGAAACTAAATAATTACCGTAAGTCGAATAGCAGATCGAATTCGATACGACATTTTCTAGTTGCATCGTCGCGGTTTCTCGTTAATCGTCATATCGGATAACGATCATTAAAACGCTATCGGCCAACAAAAAATTGCGTTTGTCCGATGCATTCTTTTACCAATTTTTTTTACCGATCGATGTTTACTCCATATCCTTCCTTTTTCTCGAAAAAATCGAGTAAAAATCAAACAAGTTTTTCTCCAAAAATTTAGATTTAACATAAATTTAAATTAAAAAAAAAAAATGGATTTTATAAATCGATTGAAACGCTATACGTAAATTTCGATGTTGCAAATATTTTATTATAAACAATAGAATAAATCTAAACATTTTATTGATCTAAATTAATAGAATATTGTAATTGGAATATTTTGAGTATATCATTTTATATAAATATAAAAGTCGATTTTAAATCGAAGAATGCACCGGTCATCGCGAACGCAAAGGTAGTGCAAACTAAAAACACGTAACAATTATCATACAGCAACCGACTACCTAGTATTACCTATACGTATAAATATATAAACATAAAGCATAAAATGACTATTCATTAAATATTGATTATTTATTATTTATTATTGGTTATTAATTGTTATTCATTAGTTATTAATTATCATTGTTATTTCACTTTTTACCATCGTCGTCGTCGTCGTCGTCGTCGTCGCCGTCGCCGCCGCCGTCGTTATCATCGTCATCGTCATCGTCATCATCATCACTATCGTCATTACCATCATTATCATTGTTATTATTCAATAGTTGCGTACATATTATACGAACAAAAGTTTATTGCTTGTATATATTGAGAATATCATAATAAAAATAATGTGGAAACAATAACGGTAGATAAATAAATTCTATTAATCATATATCTCTCTGTCGAAAAAGTAATCACGCATTCTATATATTAAAATATATATTACTTTTATATTCTCTTAATGAAATTTCACGTATTCCCCGTTAAATACGATTCGCTTCCTATTTTGAAATCGGCATTAATTCGTTGAATAATTAATTAGAGATTGATGTAAGTAATAATAACCACTCTAAATGCAAACAACAAAAGTTTTTTCTGATCTAGATAAAATACCTTTAATCTTAATTCGCATTTATTTTATCATGTAACAAGTGATTCAGTACGGAATTTAACGTAATTTTTTTAATATAATACGATGAAACATTATGTACAATAAATATAAAATATACAGTAATATTTTACAATACTATATTATAAATTATGTTTTAAAAGCTCCAGTTTGTGCAGCTTTAATTATAAAATTTTTTATCATATTTTCATTCAGATTAGCAAAACTTGCTGTCTGTACTATAGCAGTCATGTGATTTAATGCGAATTTGAAACAATATTCCTCCAATTCCTACAATTAAATTAAAATTAATAATATCCGTGTAAGAAAAAAATCACATTAAATTATTTACCTTGGCATTATTTTCAATAGCTATACTATACAGGAAAGCTACGTTTTCAACTGTTATCCCTTCCTTCATTCTTTGTATACATTGTTTTTTCAATTGATTTTCAGAATAAGTATTCGCTAATTTTAAAAGTTCTTATCGACAAAAATCAATAATTTTTATATATAATACATCATAAAATATTTATAGAAAAATATATTAAAATACTTACCTTGCATATTTTCTGGATGTAAATCGAGTTCGTCGGTATACAAATATCTCAAAAAAGCTTTGTACACGTTATAAGAAAATTTATGATGTTTTATAAATTTCCTATAATACAATAATTGATTACAATATTAAAGAATCTGGATGCACGTAAAATAATATAAGTATATACCTACTTCTGGTTATTTGTGGCCAATGTTTTTGAAAATATCGTACGAAAATATTGACAACGTATCATTAAAACAGCTTTATGCACATAAATAGATTCTTCTTGTATTTGTATAACGAGATCACTCGTAGCCTATAAAACATAAACATATAAATTATTTTTGAAAAAATACATAATATGACAAAAGATATTTCTTTATTACAAATATATACTTGATCATTAAATGCTTCTTTGAAACAATCTATTAAACCCACAGTCTCTTCTTCTCCATGAAGAATAAGTGGTTGATGCATAACGTTCGGTGATGCATAACGCGCAAAAGCATCGTGTATGCATCTTAAACCAGTAAGTGTTGGAATTGTAATGCTTTGTCCTAGACACTCGCCCCACATAAATATTTGATTACTTTCTCCCATAGCTATACTTATGTGACTATAATGCGAAGCTGCTATATCCAATACTCTTCCCATTTCTTGCACTATGAGCTGAATATATTTTTTTTACTTTTTACTTAATATTTATTAGCATGATTGATATCGCAACTTACCTGTACTGGATTACAAATATTCGTCTTCATGCCAAGACCTAATTGTCCACAATAGTTACCACCCCATACATACAAAACTCCTGTATTAGACAAGGCCAAAACATGTGCATAACCACATACTACTTTTTCTATCGTTAAAGAAAAAAATTGCTAATATTTAAAAAATATTTAACTTACATACATGAAAAAAATTTAATATTACCAATCGTAATACCAATAAGTGTTGTAATTTTACAGGGATTCGCATGATTGGCATAATTTCCAATTCCTAATTGACCAACCTCGTTACAACCCCAACTATAAATTTCTCCATTATCTGTAACTACCATGCTTGATGATTGACCACAGCTAATACAAACAACTCTTTTGTCAGTTAATGTGGAATTCACTTTCATGGGAGTTCCTTCATTTATATTAACACTATTTCCTACTTGTCTGGATGTATTTTCACCCCATGCATATACCTATATAAAAAAGGAATGTAGTTTTTTTATCATTATTAAAAAAGAACTTTAATTTCAAACTTTTATTGTCATTACCTTTCCTTCAATTGTTAATGCAAGAGAATGATGACTTCCACAGGCAATATCGATAACAAATTCATTACATAAATTTTTTGTTACAAGCATTGGAATCAAACCTTGACTGGCAGAGATATTTCCTAGTTCACAGTGACTATTATGTCCCCATGAATATACCTTTTGTGTATATATTTATGTTATTACATAATATAACATTAAATTGTTTTATGCAATATACATATATTAAAATTGGATAAAATTCAAATACCTTGCCATCTTTAGTAAGAGCCAAAACATGTGGTCCTTTACCATATGCAAAAGTTTTTATATCTTTACCGCATAATTCTTCAACTCTTCTTGGATAAAGAGTATTGTAAGTATCACCAGTTCCAAGACATCCAGAAGTGTTACTTCCAACAGCATATACCATTTTATCTTTTGTTACAATTAATGCTTCATTACCAAAATTACCTGTTTAATAATAATAGTTGATAGAAGTATGATATTTTATAGCTTTATATTGCTAATTCTTTTTATAAAAATAAGAAAAAGAATAAAAAAAATAAAAAATACAAAAAAAAATTAAAATAAAAATGAAAATGAAAATATTTTACCATATACAAGTGCCATATGAATCTTCGAAACATAATTTAAATCTAAAAAACTAAAAATTGGCCAATTCTTCAAATCCCAAGACATTTTTATATTTATCCTAAAAAATGCTTATTAATTAATGATCTTAAATAGAAATTTATTTAGTTATTTTAGTTTTAATTTTTATCAAATCCTTTTTTAATCATCTACACCATATCTTTTTTCATTTTCTTTTTTTAATATTTTTTTTAATATTTCAATATCACAATAAAAAATAAATTTAAAACAATAAAATCAGTTAATATATCAATATATTATTATTATTTATAATATTATTATATTATATTATATATATTATATATTATATATATTTATATTATAAACAAAGATTTTTATTTATATATATATATATATTAATCACATTTTATAAAATTTAATTTATTCTTGTTAAAAAATTATATTGATACATTAAAAAACAAATTTGTAACAAGAGATTTGTAATAAACATGATTTTAACATTTATATAAATATATTTATAAAATTAAATTTTTTTATATGTAAATGCACTTGCTAAACAAAAATAGTTTTTATGGTATCATCATTTATTACATTATTAATGATGTTATTTATATATATAATATATGCTATCAAAGTTTTTTAATTTTTATTTACAAACATTAATAAGAAAGTGAAATAGATCTAATCTATACACAAGGAAAGAAAATAATGAAAGACAGAGAGAGAGAAATAGAGTAAAAATATTTAAACCAGAGCCATCTGTAGAGTGCAATAAATGAAACAAATAAAGTAAGAACAGAAAATAATGAGAGAAGAATAGAGATAGAATAAGAAATGGTCATCACTATCTCTTGAATATTAAAAACATTTTTTCAAAATTAAGTTAAAATAGAAGATGAGCATTATTTTTTGAATATTTTTAAAAAAATATTTTTAATGTTCGAGAGATAGCGCTAACAGTCAATTCTTATCCTATCTCTATTCTTTTCCTATTATTTTCTATCTTTAATTTAACTTTATACATTTCATTTGTGGCATTCTTTAAATGGCGCTAATTTCAATATTTTTATCTGTTATAATATGTTTTCTCCCATTTCTCCATACTTTTTTTTCTTGTTTTTGGCATGATCATTGATGAAATACGAAATATGAATTTGAACATTTTTATTATTTTTCTTTCAAAACTACAATGAGTCTTAATTTTTAATATAAAAAATATAAATATCATATTTTTGGTTTTACAAACAACAATTATTTCACAAAATATATCTAATTATATCCTAATATATAATGCAATATTTTATATATATTACGTATATGCCAAAATATTCTCAAATAAATGTTTCATTTCTTATTCGTAATTTTGTATTAAAATTTAATTTTGATTCCATTATTATATCAACTTTGTCTTATTTTGAATAAAATCAGCAATATTAAATATAAATATATATTAAATTATAAAATTATAAAATTTAATACTCCTGAGGCATTATTGGAAAAAAGAAATATATTATTTGTTATATATTGATTATACACTTTTACTACATTTACATTATGTATATTATTATGTTTATGATAAAGATATATTTATATATATGTATATATATTCTATATTTTTTTTCAAATATTTACATACTTTTATCTTTTTATTTATATTATTATTTATATATATATATATATATTTCCTTATATTTATATTTGCAATGACTTGAAATATGTTAAAAATAATAATAATAATAATAATAATTGTACAATCTATATTAAAATGAATAAAATGCAGTAAAAAATGGCACAATTAATAAAAAAATATCTTTTCACGAATTCTATTGTAATTTTTAAATACAAAATAGTGTATTGTGATTATTTATATGGTAAATTAATAATAGTAAAAATAATTATTAAGAAATAATTTTCAATAGCTAGCCATTATTACAAAATTTACATATTAAAAATATTGTCATGATCTTTTTAAGAAATATTGATATTTAATAAAATTTATTTAATCTTGTAACATAATAAGGTGAATTATTCGTATCAAAGTATCACAATTGATTTCTTTGGATCAGAAAATATGCATATTTTGAGCTAAGTTTTAAAAGCACCTGCTTGAGCAGCTTTAATTATAAAGGTTTTAACTATACTTTCATCTAGTTTAGCAAAATCTGCTGTCTGTACCACTGCAGTCATATGATTTAATGCAAATTTAAAACAATATTCTTCTAATTCCTAGAAATATATGACATATCAAATAATTAATAATATTTTATAATATTTAATAATATTTTATATAAAATAATATAAAAAAAATGATTTACCTTAGCATTATATTGGATAGATGTATTATACAAAACGATCACATTAGTGACTGTAATCCCTTTATTTATTATTTGTATGCAATACCTTTTTAACTGATTTTCAGAATAAGCATTAGCTAAATCTAGAAGTTCTATGAAAAAAGAATATAATTCATAAAATATATTATTCAATATTATATATACATTTTTTTCCAATGAAAAATGAAAATATTTACCTAATGCATTGAGTGGATCTAGAAATGGATCAATTTCATTGGTGTATAAATATTTCAAAAAAGTTTTATATACATCATAAGAAAATTGTTTATGACATATAACACTACAATGTATAATTATATTAGTTAAAAAATATAAATACATATTTCAAAAATTAATTTACCTTTGACTATTTTCTGCCCAATGTTCTTGAAACATTGTTCTGAAGTAATGACAACGTATCTTCAAAATTGCTTTGTGCACATGAATAGGATTTCCGTGAACTTGAATAATAAGATCACTAGTGGTCTTCAACATGCAGCAAGAGATGACATCAAAAAGTGTTAAAATTAACAAACATGTTATTATTCATAAAATATACATACTGAATCATCAAAAGCTTCCCTTAAACTGTCTATTAAGTTTGATTCTTCGTCACTGTGAAAAATAAGGGGCTGATGCATAACAGCTGGAAGTGCGTAAAATGCAAAAACATCATACAAACATTTTAGTGGAGTAAGTGTTGGAACTTTAACATTCTGGCCTAGACATTGACCCCACATAAATATTCGATTACCTTCACATAAAGCAATACTTATACAATTATAATATGATGTTGCTATATCTAATACTCTTCTCATTTCTGGTACTTCTAGCTGCACAAAAATATTTATCAATTTTTTTCAAATATTTTATATTTATAAAAATATTTTTATAAAAATATATTTTTACTTTTGTAGGTTTCCAAATATTAGTATTAAGTAAAACTGTAGTAAGACCTAGTTGTCCATAATTATTAGCTCCCCAAACATAAAGAACACCTTCATCACTTAATGCTAAAGTATGTATACTACCACAAACTACTTTTTCTATAAATCAAAATAAATATAATTAATAAAAATATCCATATTTTAATATATAAAAAAAGAATTTAATATCACCTATTACTATTTTTGCAAGTGATGTTATTCTGCATGGATGAAATTGATCATTATTATTATTTTCAATTCCTAATTGACCAACATCATTACGACCCCAACTATAAACTTCTCCATTATTTGTGACTACCACACTGAATGAGTCTCCACAACTAATACAAATAACTTTTTTGCCAGTTAATGTAAAATTTAATTTTCTAGGTATATCTTGTACTAATGTTGTTATATCATGACAACCTACTTGTCCTGATGTATTTTGACCCCATGCATATACCTGAAATAATATCATACATAACATTTTAATAAAAAAAAAATATCTGTGATTGAATATTTGTATTTTACCTCTCCATCATTTGTTAATGCAAGAGAATGATGACTTCCACAAGCTATATCAACAATAAATTCATTACATAAATTTGTTATTATTGCTGGGGTTAAAGCTTGACTGCCAAAAGTATTTCCTAATTCATAATGACAATTTTGTCCCCATGAGTACACCTTTCATATAAATCATATCATTATTAAATAACATAATATTAATATATTTATTATTATATTTATATAGTTGGATAAATTTTAAATACTTTTCCTTCCTCCGTAAGTGCTAAAACATGTGGACCTTTACCATATGCAAAAGTTTTTATATCTTTACCACATAATTCTTCAATTTTTTTTGGATAAAGAGTACTTTGAGTATCACCAGTTCCAAGACATCCACAAGTGTTATTTCCAACAGCATATACCATTTTATCTTTTGTTACAATTAATGCTTCATTACCAATATTACCTGAAAGTAAAAATAATAAATAACATTATAGTTATATGTAAAATATTGTATTAAAAAAAAGAATTAAAATAAATAAATAAATAAATAAAAATAACTATCAAAAAATAATTATTACCATATACAACAGCCATATGGATATTCGAAATAAATTTCGGTTCTAATAAACTAAAGATTGACCATTTTGTCAAATCACAAGAATACATATTTATTAAAAAATTTACGACTCTAATAATTTAAAAAAATGTCAATAAAAATTGATGAAATTATTTTTCACATTCAAATTCAATTTTTATCACTGTTGTTTATAAATTGAACACATGTATATTTTGATTCAATTTATAATTCTTAAATAATTCTTAAATATAGCGAACGAACAATTATTATAAATATTTCTATTAATTTAAATTTTTTATTAATAAATATACTAAGTATTATTAAAAATTATTTCTTTAGATAAATGTATTTATAACCAAATAAACAAGTTAAAGAAAAGAAAAATTTAATATAAGACAATACATTGTATATTTCTTATAAATAATATAAATATAAATCTTATCTTTTATTACATTAATAATACTTTTATAATAATACTTTACTACATTAATATTAAGAATGATATATAATGTAATGAGAATCTTTCAATTTCTGAAATATCATCACAAAAATACAATACGCATCATTTCTAGATTACATATTATTTATGGTGTAATATTCAATTCCACAGCGCACGCGCACGTGTGTATATATATATATATATAAAATTATCGGACGAGCAATGTAAGTTATTCTCTCTATCTTTACTTTTAGTGGTTCAATTCTTCTACGGAAATTCATTGCAAAGGCAAAATATGTGACGTCATGTTATCCCCACTTGATTATGCAGAGGGATATCACGTGATCAGGTTTCTGCCAAAACTAAGCGTCGTATATGTCATATTGTATACAATAAAACATTGAATGTTAAGTTTTTTGTATCTTGTCTATAGTACAAAAAATTTATTTTGTAGCATAAATTTTTTTTGTACAGATAAATATAATTTACGAATACATGTATGAAGAATTATAAAAAAAGATCAAATCTCTAGTACGTATTATCAATTGTGATAATATTTTTTTTATTATTGTTAATTTTTTTAATATTCTATTAAATCATTTTATTAACTCTGAAAGTTTAATTACGAAATATATTATAAGTAAAAACGAGATATTTTATAATAATAAACAAAAAGTATAAAAATATTATATATTTTTTATAATATTATTCATTTTTATACAAATTCATGTCATATGGGTAAACAAATAATTAGAACAAATATTGGAATTACAAATAGTGATTTGATCAATATTTATATTAAAATAATAAAACAACTTCTTATATGAGTAATTACAAAGCAATTTTTATTGTTTCTTAAAAAATTTTTGTTTGGTAAGTTTTTGATTTTTAAAAAATATAACTGTATAAATAATATATTTTTTAATAATTAACAAATATTAAAATTAGTATAAAATAATTTATTAAATTGTATAATTTATTAAATTTATAATTTATTAATTATGTTCATGAAACTTATATCAAATATAAAATTTTCAGTAAGCAATATTTATTATTGATTTAAAGATGAATGAAAGCGAGTCTATTTATGGAACTACATTATCCCAAGAATCAATAAAGGTAATTGCAGAAAGTATAGGTGTTGGAAATTTCCCAGATGAAGCAGCAAAAGATCTAGCCGAAGATGTAAGTTATAGACTTAAGGAAATTATTCAGGTTTGTATATTTTTAAATTATAAAAAAATAATTATAAATAATTTTTTTTATTTTTTAAATAAATTAAATTTCTATAATTGAAATTTTTAACATTATATAAAGGATGCTGCTAAGTTTATGAGACATGGAAAACGTCAACGAATGACAACACATGATATAGATCATGCTTTGAAAATAAAAAATATTGAACCTACATATGGATTTTTTGCCAAAGATCATATACCATTTCGTTTTGCCTCTGGTGGTGGTCGTGAATTACATTTTGTAGAAGAAAAAGAAATTGATCTTAATGAAGTTATATCAATGTCTGGTGGACAAACATGGCCTAAATTGCCCTTAGAAATTACATTACGTGCTCATTGGCTTTGTATAGATGGTGTTCAACCTACGATACCAGAAAATCCACCTCCTGTTTCTAAAGGTATTAATTTAATAATAATAATAAAAATTCCTTTTCTCTTATAATATTAATATTAATTAATTAATAATAGATGTTCAGAAACTAGAAAGTGTTGATCCAACAAGTAAACTTACAAACAAAAGTCAAAACATTGGTGTTGGAAAACCAGGTGGAGGTGGTAAAAGTCAGAAATTACGCAATGTAGAAACAGTTCATGTTAAACAATTGGCCACTCATGAATTGAGTGTTGAACAACAATTATATTATAAGGAAATTACTGAAGCTTGTGTTGGATCTGATGAAGCACGTAGAGCAGAAGCATTGCAATCCCTTTCAGCTGATCCTGGTTTACATGAAATGTTAGCACGAATGTGTACATTTATTGCAGAAGGTGTGCGTGTTAATGTAGTACAAAATAATCTTGCTCTTCTAATTTATTTAATGAGAATGGTTAAAGCTCTCTTGGATAATCCAAGTCTTTATTTAGAAAAATATGTATGTATTAATTAATATACAATGGAATGTATATATATGTGCGCATTCGCGTTTTTTACATTTATTAATTTTATATTTCAATTTATAGTTACATGAATTAATACCATCTATTGCGACATGTATTGTTTCGCGTCAATTATGTATGAGACCAGAAGTGGATAATCATTGGGCTCTTCGAGATTTTGCATCACGTCTTATGGCTCAAATTTGTAAAAATTTTAATACCTCTACCAATAATGTACAAACCAGAGTAACTAGAATGTTTAGTCAAGCTTTGGCAAAAAATAGTCAGGTATAATTTTAAAATTTATAAAAAGTTTTTAACTTTTAAAAAGTTAGAAACGAAATAATATAATAATGTATTTTTTAGACCCCATTGGCATCACTTTATGGAGCAATTGAGGGATTATGTGAATTAGGGCCAGAAGTGATTAAAGCATTAGTTATTCCTAAAATTAAATCTATTTCAGAACGTATTGAATCATGTATCGAAGGGCCTACTTTATCAAGTGTGGATAAAAATGGAGCAGGTCATATAAAAACTCTACTTGTGGTGAGTATTATTTAATATATAACTAATACATAAATTTTATTATGTTATTATATAAAAACTAATAGAAAAATACGCGATACAATTTGTAGAAATCGGTGGCTCCTGTCTTAAAAACAATACGATCTCCTCCAGATTATGTAGAGGATTACAAACAAGATTATGGTTATATAGGTCCTGCATTGTGTGCAGCCGTTGCAAAAGCTCGTACGCAACCAGCTACATTAGCAACAACCGCATCTACAACTACAGCTTTAACAGCAAATCAACAAGGTCCTACATGTACTGGAAAAACTATTGTACAAGCTGGTAATATTATTCTTATCAACATGAAATTAGAAATATATATTTATTTTAAATGTAAATAATGATTTTATTTTTTTTCTTTTATTGAAGTAACAAATTCTAGTCCTGGACAACAAGCTGGACGCACAATTATGCTTGGTACAAGTAGAACTGCTGGTGGAACTACCACAGCTGGAGGACAAAAATTCGTTATTTTACAATCTCGATCTCAAACACCAACAGCTACAAATATTAATAGCAATGCAATACAACAACAATCTCAGCAACAACAACAGCAACAATCGCAACAACAAGTTAAAATAGCCCAAACTAATGTCAGTCAACAAAAATCTCATATACAAAGTAATACACCAAAATTAGTAGTTGTTTGTATGTCTAGTGGTAGTCATAGTACTACTACAGTAACTCAGGTGCGTATAATATATTAATATATAATAATATAAAATTTATGGAATTTATTGAGTTATTAAATGTAAATATTTTTTATAATATAGGGAAATATAACAACAAAAGCTCAAAATGTTTTTGTAACCCAACAGAACATCGAATGCTCATTAAATCCAGAAGAAGAACATTCTTTTCAATAATAAAAAAAATTTAATTTACAACATTCAAATTTTTAATAACATGTACAAAAATAAATTTTTAATGTTAATATACTTTATAACAAAAAATAAAGATTTTTTATGAACCCAAAATATATATATGTATATATATATATATATATATTTAATTATTTAACAATTATTTTTTAAAAATTAATTATTTAAAATTATAAATTTATACTTATTTAAGAACTTAACTGGATGTTGAAATGATTTCTATCTATTAAAATGATGTCAATTTGAAGTATTTGTAAATGTATATAAATATGAATTAAATACATAAACTCTAATATTGATTAATAATATACTTATATATAATTTGTTAAATATTTTTTGATTTCTTCTTCATGTATTTTTAATCTATTTAGATTAGAAATAGTAATTGATAGTCAATGTTACCAAAATTATATAATTGAAAACGATATTAATTTGTAAAAGAAAAACTTCCTATTTTCCATGAAACAATTTATACTTATATTGATAAATATTTGAAATCGTATTTCGAAATTATTTAATTCTAATAAATTATATTGTTTATATTGTTTATATATTAATTATATTGTTTATGATTTATATTGTTTATGATTTAAATTTTTTATATATTTATTTATTTACTATAAAAAAACTAACTATTATAAAAAAAGAATAAAAAGCATGGCTTGTTGAGAAAATATAATTACAACGCAATAAATGATCGACATATGAAACTGGATGCACGGAGAAAATAAAAGTACGCCATATTTGTTTTTAAAAAGATTTGCTTTATGCTTAATTTATGAGAAGGAATAAAAATGTTGGTTAGGAAGCAATTTGGAATCTATATATATATATATTAGTTTAAACTTTAAAAGATAAAATGTAACATTTTAAATAAAATTATATGAAACATACATGCATTGATATTACAAATGAAGCAGTTTAATATACTTTCAAGATTTTAACTATATATACATATACATATAAGTGAAAAGATAGTTTGTGGTTGATTGTTTGTATATATCATATATACTTTTATTCATCATCTGTTATAAAATGGCTAAGAATGATACTTTAACGATCTTTTTTGCAAATACCGTTCGAGAAAATGAAAAAATGTTAAAGGAATCATATTCCAAAAATCAAGTAAGTACTGCATAATTACATTTATATATATATATATATATATATATTATATATTATATACATACATATATATATATCAATATATAATATCTAATATATATTAATAAATAATATTAATTTAAAATTAAATATTTTTCAGCTAGACATTAAAAGCAAAAAAGATTATGAAAATTTATTTATTAAACTTAATTACATATGTCAAATGAAATCGACCAAAGAAAAAGTACAGTTAAACTCTTGGTGCAAAAAAAATGTAAGTTCAAAATGGAATTACTTATAACTTTTTATATAAATTTTGAAATTTCATTATGATATTTTATGTTAGATTATAAGCTATATATATGGACCCATCTCAGGATTTCCATCTGGTTCATGGTGGGGTATTCGTATGGATTGTTCTAGGGATCGTGTTCATGATCCTTTTGATGAGGATATTCAAAATGGGCCATTTGGAGTTACTTCAATTTGTACTTCAAGCATTAATTTAAATGAAGATATAGATTTGGGTAATTCTCTCACTCTTACAGGACAAAAATATTTTATTGGAAAATTAGATGAAGATCCACTTATTAAAAATTATGAAAATCAAATACCAGTGAGATTAATCAGAAGTTATAATTTGCTCAATGAATTTGCACCTAAAACAGGTTATAGATATGATGGTTTATACATTGTAACAAAATTTTGGATAGGTATAAATTCAGATTCTGTAAAATATTATAAATTTGCTTTGTTACGTTTAAGTGATCAAGAACCACCATTGTGGATAAATCCAGTTCCTTTAGCTATAAGTAATTGTACTTCTACTTTACATTCTACATCTATATCTTTACAAAATTACTTAAAAAATTCTGCATCAAATTTATACGAATTTAAAAAATATTCGCATGGTACTGAATCTACAGTTCAAAAAGAGAAACATGAAAATTCATTTGGATTTTCACAATGTCAAAATATTGAAAATAAAAGAGTAAATGAAAGAAGAAAAAATATAACTAAAAGTGCAATAGTAACTCGTCATGTATTTAAAAAATTAAATACAGAATATACATCAAATGTATCATGTATACCTACTATGTCAAAAAAGTCACTAAGTCATATTGAAAACAAAGGATCTAAAACTCGTAATACAAATATTTCTATACGTACAGGATTATATAATTCGTCTCATAATATACGAAATGATAATAAGAAAAATACTTCGTCACTATTTCGTAGAACTAAATCACTCAATGTTCACAAAACTAATCAACACATAGAAAATTGGAATTTATCTAACAAAGATAAAAATAAAAATTTTGATGGAAAAACTCAAACGATCACGACAAATGAATTTTCTAAACGTATTAATTATATTTCGTTTAATTCAGTAAAACCAGATTCAATAAAAATAAAATTTGCTAAAAGTACTAATACAAAAATGAATAATGATACAAATAATACAAATCCAAATTCTTATCATAGATTTGAATGCAATGTTACATCTAAAGAAATAAGTAATAATTTTAAAGATTTATGTAACAGTACTATAAATTCATCCGATACAACTAATATGTTGAATATAACAAATTGTATGTATAAAAATGAAATTTCAGCATATAAGATGATGTCAAAAGAATTACAGGAATTGAAATCACTTGATTCTTTAGATTCCTTGACACCAGATAAAATCCTTTATTTAATTAATAATAAAAATCATCCTTTGTCAAAATTATTAATGGGTAATATGATAGGAATAACTTCAGAACAATCTATAGCATTACAAGCAGGAAATACAATGACAATCAAATCAGAAATCAAAGATAAAATAGGAACACAAAAAAGTAACAAAGAAGAAATAAAAAGTAAAACTAAATTTGAAATTACTTCAGATGATTTAAGTGAATCAAGATATTACAAATTTAGAAGATGTAGAAAACTATCTAGAAGAATAAAAAGTAAATCAGAAATGATAAAATATAATAAGTTACATAGTGAAAAATTTGAAAAAGAATCTATACAATCTTCAGATATTTTACAATATTCGAGAAAAAATAAAAGAAATATAGATATTTGTAAAGATTTAAAAAATAAAAATATGGATTGTCTATCAGATTCAAAAAGATATATTAAAAAAAATGCTGAAAATTCAATAAAAACAATGCATTTACAAACTGTAAGAACAATCGATTCATCAATAAAAAAACATATAAATAAAAAACAAAGAAGAGAAATTACAAATTTATTAATAGATGCAAAAATTGGACCTAAAATACGTGGTCCACGATACAGAAGATTACGATGTATTAATAATGCATATACAAAACAATCATATGATCATTTTGATGCTACAATATATAAATTAAATAAATGTAAAGTTAATACAAAACGATCTACTAACCAAAGCAGAAATAAACTTACAAAAATAACTCGTTGTAAACGTGTTAAAACTAATCAAACTAGAAATATTAAAAGATCAGATACTTTAAATGTAAAGCGCCAAAAAAATAAAAATCTTAATGTTTCTAGAAAAATAAATGATGCAAAAAAAACCATAATTAGTAATAATAATATAAACGAAAATGATATTGATAATATCAATAATAAAAAATCAGAACATATAGAAAAAAATATTAAAATTATAGAAAGTAAAAATATAACAACTATTAAAAATCGGAAAAGAAAATTAATAGATACAATTCATAGAGATTCGAAATGTAATAAAATTGATGAAAAATTGCGAAATTGTTATGAAAAAAGAATTTCAAAATCCTACAAAACAGATGCTGTTACTCAATGCTCTCTTCTTAAAGAACCATTAACAAAAAATTTAAAATCAAATAATATCTTACAAAATAATGTTCATAATGAACAATATACTTTTATTAAAATAGAATATGGTGATTTTAAAGATACAAAATATGAAATGAATGAAACTATGAAATCTGATACAAGTAATAATTATTCAATATCTCGGTCTGATAAAAAATTTGTATCTTGTACAGGTTTATATAATCTACAACATCCTGTGAATGCAAATATATCATTAAAAAGTAATATTTTGAATATAAGAGGACAAAATAAATGTTCACTTGAAAGAGTATCTGCATTTGTACCTGTTAATATCCCAGATAATGATACAAAAATTGCTCGCTTAAGATCAATTGGATTTAAACCAATTAATTTCAGTATAGAAGATAGTAATGGTCAAAATAAAAAAGTATTAAAACAAAATGTTGCTGAAAAATACAATAAATATACAAATGAAGAAAATGATGTTGTTGTTTATATGGATGATAAATTACAATATCAAGATATTGAGGATGAGGATAAAAATTCTTTATCTATTAGAGAAAAAATTTCAGATTCAAAGATATATACTGAACAATTAAATAAAATGAATTTAGAAGAAGAATCTTGCAATTCATTATTAGAACAAGATATAGAATCACCTTGGCATGGATGGAAAAAAATTGTAACAAATAAAGATACATATTGGATAGGTTGGTAAAAATATATTATTATAATATATTATAATTATAATAAATTATAATAAATATTATACTATTTTATATACACATATGTGTACAAATTTTTTGCCAAAAAAAGGCTGTTAACAAATGCTAAGTTATTTTTTCACTAATAATTGTAATATTTCAATGCATTAATGTAATTATTCTATATGCTTTTGTAGGTCAATTAGATTTGATCTTATATTTGATTAATCTATGTTTAAATCAACTTAATTAATTTCATGATCTTTTTTGATCAATAGATCATTATAAAAATGAAAACTAATATAAGTAATATTAATTGTTAAGTGTACAAAATGATTTATTCTAACAAATTATTGTTATTTTGTGAAACAGAATAATATACTCTTTCCATAAAAATTTATGTATACATAATTCATTCTATTGTATAGAGAAAATAAAGTTTAATTAAGATTTAGATTAATATCCATTGTCATTTTTTTAAATACCTAAGTAAATATAATAATATAGAAGAAATATTAATAATATATAATATATAAGAAATATTAATATATAAAAAATATTAAATATAAAATATTCATATCTATAATATAAAATTAGTATAATATAAAAACAGTATAAATAGTATAAATAGTATAATATAAAAACAATAAATATCAAACAATTATATATAAATAAAACAAATATATCGAAGGAAAATTGTTTAATTCGTAAATTATTAAATACATTCTATTTTAACGATATATACACTCATTTATTTATTAATCTAGGACGCAAAGATTTTTGTAGCTCAGCTATATATACATACATATATATGTGTATATATATATATATATATATATATATCTCCAGTAATATTCATATCATACATTCACATACATGCACGCGCTCATACAAACAATATATCATACACACACACACACACACACACACACACACATATATATATATATATATATCGGACGCGTGCAATAATTAGAAGTTTTTCTTAGTGTATTTTATAAAATAAGTATTTTCCACTGGCAAAATTACACGGTAATCTCATATGAATTAGAAATACTGTTATATAAACATATACATAGTGTTTGTTCAGAGTGTAAAAATATTGTTTAACTACAATAAATAATGCAGCAACATATTGTGAGTATTTAAACATTAAGTACTGTACAATGCCTTTCTCTGAAAAACAAATTATTTTTTAAAATAAAAATTGTTATATTATTATAATAGCCACCTCTATAGGTAACATTGCCTTAAACATGTTCAGCATATTAAAATAAATATCTTCTATGCTACATGATGTAACATAATACATATATTAACACGAATGTAACATGGAACTATTATATCGTGATGATTTACATCAACGAATTGTTTATTCGTTTGTTCTGTGAGCGAGTTAAGTTCCTACCTAATGACGTATAATCATTTAATAGTATACATAGTGTTTTCTTGAAATTAATTTCACGGAAGTCCAACATTAATGTATTTTTCGATCTTTTTCTTTTTTTGTATCTTTTTGTACATGATTTATTATATCTATTGGAACTCATCATCACTGCTCAAAAGCATTGTCTTCTCATTATAATTTTGAGAAATTGTAGCAACACGTTGATGAGAAGTATGCCGTCTTTGTGGTGGTGGTATTGTCATATTCTGTGGATCATCTGGATCGAAGCTGGATATCCGCATACCACGTTGTCCTTTAGGTGCTCCTGATTGTTATATTACATCACGTATTATCGCTGACAAAGCCGTTACTAATAAATATATCAATCAGCCAGCGAACAGCGAAAAATCATGCCGATATTTTTTTTTTTCATTCAAAACATTTAGAATATCAATTACAGGCTATGTATTATTTTATATGTGAATTGATAAAATTTGTTTACACATAGCACAATTTACAGCATTTTTTTATTTTTTCAATACATCACTACAAATATTATATATCCATTAAATAATTCATGCATGTTATAACAATAAAGAATTCAATTTACTAGTTTTAAGAAAATTATTAAACACATGTATAGGAAAAAAATATATGAAAAATATAGTTATATTAACATGCTAAATGAAATATAAACCATGCTTTTTTTTTTTAAATATAAAAGCATTACATAATAGCAATATGTATTTTAATAATTATTATTTTGTTTATAAAATAATATATAATTACAATACTGCCACAGAATAGTAATCAATTATTATTTGTCTTTTGCATTTATTAAAAAGTAAATTTTTTTATGAAATTACACTGTACTCTAAGTGCTCCTATTATTAAGTGTTTATTTTCTATTATACAGTAGATTTTATTAATTGCAAAATTAATAAATCATATAATTATGTATATGTATATGTTTATGTATATCGGTTTTAATATAAACCTTAAATCATAATTTGAGCAGAGAACACTATGTCCACTCTAAAATTTGATTTAAACTTAAAATATTATGTAAATTATAATGTAAATTTTAATGAATTATATTAAAAAATTTTTTAATCTCCATTAAAAATATATGAATGCTTCATGTCCAATTTCTTGAAATTAAAAAACGATGCCTCGTGTTTTCATAGTTTTTCATACGGCAAGTTGGTATTAACGTCTGAAAAATAGTAAAAAGAAAGTGCCTTCAAAGAATTTTAATTGGCACATATTAATCAAATTCATGGTAAAAAATATTATCTTTTCAAGAAATATTTTATTACAAAAGATATATATTATATTTTTATTGCAAAAGATAAATATAAATGAATTTATACTATTTTATTGTTCTAATGATTGGCAGTAAAGTATATTGAATTATTATGTAATAATATAAAGTTATTGATTGAAGTTATAATATTGATTATTATATTAAAATGATAAATGTTTACCATTTAAGAAACTAAAATTCACAGTTAAAATAACATAATAAATATATTTATTTGTTTAATTTAAATTTGAATAAAATATTTTAATAATTATAATATATTTTTTATATTTTACGCGTATAATAAATATAAAATTTAAATAATATAAGTAAATAATGTATGAAATATGATTTTGATTCATCATTCACTACATCATGCTATATGAAAATGTACAATCAACAATTTAAAATATAATATTTATATGTACATATATTTAATTAAAAAATTTGTTTAATAAAAATAAATAATGCATACATACCAGAACTATACTGGGTATACTGTTGATATTGTGGATGAAAGTTATGGATGGCATCAGTCATTATATCTTTTGGATTCATAGTTTCCTATTTATAAATATTAAAATATCAATTTCATTGTTTTATTTATTATATTATTTAAAAATTGTTATAATATACCTTTAAACTACTGCTAATGCTTTGCATTGTTACACTTCTTCCTCTTGAATCCGTAACACAACCAGCTGAATACACTTGGTAAGGAAATGCATAACGTAAAGCTATAGCAGCAAATAACATTTCAATACAAATCAAAAAGTTTTGATAACCAGCAGAAACAGTTCCTGCACTAGTTGATTGATCTAAGCTTATAGGAGAAATTACATTTGCTTTTTCAAGAATAGCCAATAATACTCCTGAAATAAAATAAGATTAATATTTTTGATACATAATATTTTAAATAATCTCATATTACCTTGCCAAAATGAAAGAAAGATAACACTCTTAACAGTACAAAATTTTAAGACAGGTTCAAATGGTGTTAATAAGTCTCTTGTAGCAAAATAGAAAAGAAAAAGTCCATAAAGTGCAAGAGATACACTGATGTTATAAATTATAGTTATATAAATATAGCCTCCATCTGGAGACCAATCTCCATCTCTATAATGACCAAATGCCTGAAGAAATATAATGACAAATGCCATTACTGGTTTTACCAAGCAAAATTGTAAAGTAGCTTGCTTGCAAAATCTAAGAAAACCAATTGTATATGTTTTCCCAACTAGACAACATGTTCCATATAAACAATTAGAACGAATAGGTTTGCCACGTATCTCAGACATAATATTTCCTTCACCACCCAGGTACTCGTAGCATAATGACAAAAAGTTATATATAACAAATGCTTCATAACAGTCTCGAACAGTAAAAAAATAAACATAATAACTTTCACTGTAGAAAAATAGTAGAGACACCCAAGAATAAGTAGCATAAATTGGTACTATAAACAGAATTCTAACTATCCATCTTTGCTCTGTTGGATTAGTATACCACCTTAAGTGTTGATAAATCTAAAAAAGAAATAAATCAAAAATTAAGAAATTAAAAATTATTAATTTTTCAGTTAATAAAATTATAATATATTAAAATATATTATAAAATACCTGTTGACAAGTTAAAAATAATGCAACCCAAACAAATGCACCAGCAATACCTTGAGCTGCTCGTGTTTGTAAGAAAATTGGAGCTGTTTTCTTAGAAATTGCAGTGACAGTTGTGGACGTCATATTAGCAATCAAAGTTATAGATGGTTCCGTACTACTCATATTTCAATCTAAGAAAAGTTAATGTTACAAACAATAATAATAACTTGGCATTATTGAAGAAAGATGATTGTAGCTACCAAAAATATTCGTTTTAATCACAGTCACAAATAAAAAAAATAATAAACATCTTTCTGTAACATAAAATAAATATCGAAATTATGGTTCACGCGTTAAAAATCAATATGCACAACAATAACAAAGGTATTCCATTCGTGCGTAAAATTTCATCTCGTAGACGCACCCGTGCCCCATTCGTAAGTTTTTTCAAAGGATTGTAGCATACGTGCGATCTCTTTTTATTTCACCGTACGTGTTCTCCTTTTCTTTTGTATCGTGCGTACGTGTTGACCTGTATGAAATCAAGCTTCACAGGTTCCCCTCTTTCAATTAACTATCTACTGACGCAGTGGTGATGATCGTGACCTTCCAAAAAGCAACGTTAATAATCTACTGAATTTTCTTTCCTTCACTGTTATATATTTGTCCAGTTTAGATCACCGAGTTTCACTTTTATCCGACATTTTTCACATCTCTTTTCGTTTGCTCTCAGATGTCAAACATATTCACCCAACTAGCTTTACAAAATATGCCAGTTGATAATAAAAATATAACTGGTCTTGCCACCACACCATATATTCTTCTTTTTTCCACTCGTAAATTTTTTCTTTGGTTCTCTTTGTTTCACTTTTATAGACGATCTCTTTACCCTTCTCCTTCATGCTAAACCCCCTCCATGATTTTCTTTAATTACTATTGCATACGCATGCGCTTATTCATAGTTATATATCATTTTTGATGATAAATCGTTGAATAAGGTATATCGCGTTACTTTATAAAAATTTTGATTAATAATTTATCTCAATTTTAAAAAATTCATTATTTGTCAATGAATTCGTATTCTTTCATTTATGAAACATTAAACAAAAATTAATATAGATTTTTTACTTTTATCTTACTTTTATCAATTTCAAAAGATCATAATTCAAAAATATAATATTTACTTATAAATAATAATAATAACTTTAATAATGAATATACAAAAATTTTATATGTAATATATCATTTGAATAATATTTTAATATAGTTTTGAAAATTTCGCAAAAATGGCACTCGTTTATATTGAAGACAACGATCCTTGGTAAGAATAACTAATTTTGACTTTTCTTGTCCGTCTTTGAAATTTGAATTTTTGTTTAAGAATTTATGAAATTATATAGGTTAACGGAATATGATGCTTGTGAGAAACTTTTCAGAGAAATTATGGAACAATTTACAGCACGCAATAAACATTCAAAAACTTTGCAAACATATGCAAGTATATCTGCAAATATACGAATACGTATAAAACAATATAATCGTGAAGTTCAACAACTTAAAGATAAAGTAGATGATGCATTAAAGTCTAAAGCCATGTATCCTTTTTCTTAGTTATTCGATTAAGGTTTAATTAAAAATTTATTGTTTTAACATTTTTTTCTTAAAATACAAAGATATGTAGAACTGTTGAAGAAGCAGAACGAAGAATACGTCAAATAGAAATATTGAAGAGTAGGGATGTACATTTACAAGAGTTGTGTGATGCACGTACAAATAATTTTGCTTCCTCTCGTGCAAATTTACTTACATCAGGGACATCAGCTTTTGCAGATGGAGGTACAACTTCTTGGGCAGCTGATGATGATGATAATGGTGATGATGATAAACTTATAGATACACAAATATCCATTGCTGATCTTATGTCACAACGAGATAGAACCTTAGAAGGTAGAAATTTTAATATGCTTTCTGATTGCTGAATATTATTTCTTTTATTTTTTTATAGAGCAAAATAAAGGTTTAGAGGAGTTATGTAAAGTTATTGCAAGACAAAAAGAAATTGGTCAGACTATTAGTAATGAAGTAAATCATCAAAATGGTAAATTAAAATTAATATTATTTATTATTTAAAAATTTAATAATATAAATTTTTTTGAGATTCTTATTTCTTATAAAAATTTTTTAATTTTTTTTATTTATAGAAATAATTGATCATCTAGCTGATCATATGGATAGAACTGATGAATCATTAATTAACAGGACACATCACGTGAGAACTATTAGTTTTAAAGATCGTACATGTGGCTATTGGATAGTAATAATTTTTCTTTTTATTTGTATTATCACAGTTGTTTTACTTCCATAATTTTTAATATATTTGATTATAATATATAAGAACAATAGGTATCTCTTTTAATGTAATTTTAATATATTCTGTAAATATGTATAAAAATTATATTCTTACAAATTATTGCATTTTACGTTTTTAACTATTTACTAATTTCAGTATTCATTATAAAAATTATATTATATTTATAAACAAAAAATACAATATAAATTAAAATAAATATTTATTTATATATCTAAATGTGATGTTTTTATCCCTAAAATTATATAACATTGTAATGAAATAAGTTTTTTAAATAAGAAACAAAATTTTTTCTTTATCTTTTATCTACAAATTATATTTCATTGTTCGTTGTTTTATTTTTTTGAGATATCCCGATATTAGTTTCTAACATATTACTCTTTATATCTAAGTTAAGAGTTTTCAAAAGTGCTTTTGGATTAGGATCTCTTCCACTGAATTTTCTGAAATTTTCACGTGCAGAATAAGTGCCACCTACAACTAAAAATGATTCGCGATATCTATTACCGAGTGCTTTTAATGATTCTTTGTTCTCATAAGAGACATCTTGAAAAGCACTATATAAATCAGCAGCAATCATTTTTGACCAAATATGACTGAAAATATAAATTTTTTTCTTACATTTTATTAAAAAGATATGTATGATATATACATATATATATCATTTATAAAATGTTACCTGTAATAAGCAGCTGCCCAATTTCCACTAAATATAGATTCAAAAGAACATATATGACTGTCCTTTTTATTAGGAGGAAGTACAAAATATTTTTTCCATAAACGATTCATTATATTATTCCAAAATTCTTTACTAAAAATTAATTAAGAAGAAATTAAATATAATATATAAATATATATATTTATTATATTTATTATATTCAATCTTACCTAGAATATAATTCTAAATCAAATTGTGATAAATATAATTCTTTGCATAAATTATAACCTGATAAATGCGTTTTTGCATTTTTCAACTTGTCAATCATACTTAACGGTAATGATTCTCCTGTAATTTGATGACATGAAATTCTTTGCAAAAATAATGGTTCATATAACCTAGAAAACAAAAGAATAAAACATTTTAAGCATATGTATGTACATATGTAAATATGAATTATAAAAAATACAAAAATTTGAATAAATATACCAATTTTCAAGAAAATAATCAGAAATAAATAATGCATCCCATTCCATGAATGAAAGTCCAGCAATATCTGTGTATTCCACTTTTGTTAATAAATAATGCAATGCATGTCCAAACTAAATAAAAAAAGTTAATATTAAAAAAAATTTATAATATGAAATATTATTTTAATATTATACATTTACCTGTCGAAATAGCGTTTGGAGATCTTTGAATGAAAGCAAAGAAGGTTTCTCATTCATAGGTGGTTGAAAATTGAATATTAATGCAATTAATGGTTTTATATTACATATTTTACTTTTATTTTGTATTGAGACTGTATATCCTGAATTCTGTGATGCTCTAATTTTTTCATCTCTCCTTGCATATAGGTCTAAATAAAAACTACCTAATGGATCAGTGGTTGATTCCTTTATATCAAAAATATCAAAAAATCGAACATCTTTATGCCAAAGATCTGTTTTTTTGGTTTCAATAATTTTTACATCAAATAAAATTTCAATCAGTTCAAATAAACCATTTAATACTTTTGGTAGAAGAAAATAATTATTTAAATCCTCTTCCTTATACCTATAAATCATATTATATATTATATATTCATTATATATATATTCATATTTTTTTATTGTTAAATATTTTTAAACATTATCTTATACTTACTCATATACAGTTCGTAATTGTAGTCTACCCCAATATGATATGTCCCAATGTTGAAGTGTACCTTCAAGACCTTCTTTACTTGCAAATGCTTGAAGTTCTTTAATTTCATATTCTTGAGCAGGACGAGCTTTTAGAGATAAAGTAAAATATTATAGTTATTGATTTATTTAAATTTAATTATATAAAATTATACATGTAGATAAAATAAAAATTTTACCTGTAGCTAATAAAGTATTCAATACATGATAAACATTTTTCACACTAGCTGCCATTTTAGTTTCCATACTTAAGTCAGCAAATGATTTGTATCCTAGCAAATTAGCTTCTTGATTTCTCTTCTGTCTAATATCTTCCAAAGTTGTGCTTGTTTGTACTGATTTATCATGTAATACAGATGCTTTAATAACATTTGTTTCCCACACTTTACATCTTAAAGTACGATCAGGACAATGTTCTAATAGAAAAATAAAGATTAATATAATTAATTAACCAATATTTAATTTTATAAATAAATATATACCTATAAATGGTTCTACAACATCTGGAGTTAAAGTTATTATCCATGGTCCAACAAGAAATTTTGTAGAATCTGGTGCAATAGATTTCAGTAACTCTTCAGGAAAATCTTTCACTAGTACAGGATCTCTTATAGTAAAACTAAGATGATTTATAGCAGTCTACAAAAAAAAATAATTACAATTAATATTCTTTTAACTTGTTCATATTTACAAACCTCTAATTTTTGTGAATATTCTTTAATTTTATCACATAACCACAATCTCAATGCTGAAAATTGTTCCTTTTTCTTTTCAGATAATTCTAATCCATTTAATTTTCCTTCCAATATATATTTTGTTAAAACTCTTTTTTGTTCATCACTTAATTTGTTATGACTGTTATTGAAAACATTTTTACATGCTTGATATATTGGTACACTAATAAATTTAGAAGCAGAAGCTCTTCTAGCACGTCCATCAATATTTATATAATATTGTGTAGGCATTAAACTCTGATTCCCTAAATATAATGTTTTTGAAATGCCCCATGTAATATTCAAAGAAGTATATATTTCCTCTAAAGGATTTAATATATTTTTAAATAGATTTTCTGAAGAAATATCATTAACATCTAAAAACGAATTTTGCAAAATATATAATTTAAATTAAAAATAAGAATATACATAAAATAAGCAAAATTACTTTCTATTTGTTTTTCCAAGGTTTTAATTGTTTCTTCAAATTCTAATGCTTGTCTTCCAATAACAGCAATACATTTTTCTATCGTAATATTTGTAAATTCCGGACTTTTATCTTCTTTTAATAGAGGATATTTTCCTGGTAAATCTTCTCCAATTTCTGGAACACTAAATTTAAATTAATTGTTATCAAATAATAAAATCATTTTCAATGTGTTTTAAATATATTAAAAAAATTGTACAAAAAAAAATTATACATAAAAAATTTATATAAAAATAATAAAATTGTATAATTTTTATTGTGAATAAGTATTTTTATTGTGAATAAAGTAGCGATACGATATATGTACATACAGAATCAAATAACCATTACGTCTCGGAATTTTTAGGAGACTATTCTGAGATAAAATAATTTTTTTACTATAAAATGAGGTCACTTTTATATTTTTTAAAAACATCATGTTTTTATTATCTCTCAAATTACATTTTCAACTAAAAACCGCTCTTCTTGGTTATTATATCATTTAATTATCCCGTTTTTCTATTTAACTAGTAAAATTTAGTCATGAATTACAAGTTCATTCTAGTAGACAGTTCTAGTAGTTTCATTCACATTTTAACTTAATATTTTAACTTAAATTTTTAAAAAAATAAATGAAGAATTTTAATTTTAAATATTAGTAATAAAATAAGAAAATATAAATTATCAATCATATCTAAAAATAAAAATGAACTTTTTTTATTGCATATTTGCTTATCATTAAATTTGTTATAATACATTTGGGATGGCGCCACTATAAACATCACATTTAGAGATTCAAGATTGCGTACTATTATAGTATGTTTATATTGGGCTAAATACAATTGGGTGGAAGAAATTGCGTATTTTCTGACGTACACGATAACGAATCATTAATTTGTACAGTGATATTGATATTACGATTTTGGATTGTTTTCACAAAATTTTATTTTATTCATCATAACTATCATCATAAATCGATGTCTTCAACAATGTCAGGAAAGTTACGAGGAAATAATATTAAGTGGGGAAATTCATCAGAAGAAAATAATACATATGAATCAAAATATAAAATGAGGTTGAGAGAATCATTAAGGAATACGCAACAACCAGCTGTAACTGAAAGTGAGATTCTTGTGGAACCACGAAAGCGAGGCCGTGGTCCTTCTAAAAGACCTTGCCTTAATAGAAATGCTTTAATGGCTCGAGAAAATCGACTTAGGAAAAAAGCTTATTTAGAGAAGATTGAAAATAAACTATCATTTTATCAGCAAGAGAACAAAAATTTAGTAAATATTATAAAAAAACAAAGTATTGATATCAAACGATTAAGTGGTGAAGTTGCTTATTTAAAGAGTGTATTAAACAATAATACCAGTATTACTACATTGCTAAGAACAATCAATGATGGCCTTCAAAAAATTAGTACACAAAAAAAGAATTCATTGAATTCAAATCATGTTTCTGAATATTCAAATGAATTAAATACGCAACACAAATGTACATGTTATACAAATGTGAAGGAGAATATATTAAATAATCAAAATACCAATATATTTATTACAAATGTCAATAATGATTCATTGACAGAACATAATACGACTGAAGATTCTAATAGTGAATCTTATATTAATTCTCAGAAGAGATTTGCTTGTAAGAATTCAAGCATGGATAAAATTTCTTCATCTTTCTTAGATTCAGATCATACTTATATTGTTTCCAAAAATATTGAAGTTGACAATAAGAGCAATCTTCAAAATAAAAATGTAACAGACACAATAACATCAACTACTAATATAACATCTGATGATAATTATATGGATAATACAAAAGATTTGGATAATTTATTACCAATTAATCAAACAGATTTATCCAGTGTAGATGAAAAGAAAGATATTGATACCATTGGTATCGATTTTGATCAATTATCTTCTTTTAATATGGATATATTTGAAGATCTTCCCAAATGTGATGAAATGATGAATACAGTAGATAATTTAAATGATGCATCTAATCTTTTCACTGCAGAAGAAATATCTCAAACTTTAGATAATACAGGAATCTGTCTTCATGTTAATTCAGACAAAGTATCTTTAGAATTTTGTTCCATTTGTCACTTAAATAGTAAGAATTCGGGATCAAATTGAAGGGGGAATTGATCATAATTATTATAAGTTCACTCAATGATGAGTTACAAAAGAGGTTTACCAAAGATTTTGGAAATATTTCTCGATCAGTGGAATACAAAAAAATTAATGAAAGTAATATATTTTATATTATTTCAATAATTATTGAATATAATAAAGAAATTATTGTATAAATTATTGTATATATAGTAGTAGATATATTAATATTTTCAGGTATATCAAGAAGATGTATGTCAGCATCATATTGCCTATCTCTTGCTGAATCGTCGTAGAAATATTTCTCACATGGAGCGAAAGTTGCGTTATTAGTATTTATACTATTTATGTATATAACATGCGCATATGTATATATATACATATATATAATATGCATATATATGTGTATATATGTACATATAAGTTATGTTCCATATATGCATATAATCATAATAATATATATGTATATGCATATATATCTTTTTATTTTATAAATAATAAATTTTTTTATGTAATTTTAAATTATCATTAATAATATGTAATAGTACAAAATACTTTTGTCAAAGGTTACTTCATTGCTGCTTTTCAATAATGATATTTAATAACATAAAAATTGTTTTTGAAAGAAATATTTATTATGTCTGATTTTAATAGCTATAAAATGAAGCTCTTGCCTACTATATATAATATTAAATCGTAACACTTCTGTTCCTCTGAAAATATAATTATTTATTTTTTACAGGATAGTGTACCACTTGGCATTGATTTACTAGCAACAATCGTGCAAAAAGGTAGGCATTATTGTAATTTTATTAACGTAATTCAAAATATATTTAAAATTAAAAAATATAATATATATAAATTATGTTAGTTTCATAACAAATATATTTATTTTATTTAGTTGAGCTTTGGCACATATCTGACACATTCTATTTATCATTTGATGTTACATAGTATTTTGGAGCAATTATAAGTAAAACTTGTTGGAAAAGTATGGAATCATGATCGCCCCCTTCTCTTAACATAAAATATATAATTAATGAACAGGTTGAGTATAACTATAAATAAATTGATACTCGTTTTTTATATTGGAATAACATTGTACTACTGTTAATATATGTACAATTTATTAATAATTATAAATTTTGAATTTTTTATAATTTTCAGCTGCATCCCAAGGATTTTCAACCAATATGGAACATTCCATCCACTGATCGAGTTTTATGGTAATTGAAATTGAAATTAAAGAATTAAATAATTAAATAATATAAAATATTTTCATAAATTATATAATATAAATTAGAAGTTTACAAGATTGAAAATCTTATTCCTTCTGATTTTTCATAATTTTTCATTATGAAAAATTATATTGTATAAATTATAACAAAATTATGCGATATGACAAAATATTTTAATATTAAGTCTCTTAGGATAAGTAAAAAAACATATTTTTTTGTTTCTGGAGGAAAAGAAGTGTATCGATTCTATTATTGTTATAATATATGTATTCTTGTTTTAATACATATGATATTTTTATATATTTTTATTATAAATTATTTATTGATAACATACAAACATACATTTGAAAATTATATAAATTATAGATGTAAATTACGTATTACTCTGTTGATTTAAGTATTTTGTAATTTCTAATGAAAATTATAAGTTGTTTTGTATAAAAATTTGTTACTTGTTTATAATAAACCTATTGATATTAACTTTTTTTACATATATTAACAATTAAATTTTGTATTTTTTTTCTTTACTTACATTTATACAATTACATTTTAAAATTATTATATCAATGATTTTATTATAAAACATATTATAATCTTTATGTACTTTATTAAATTAAAACGCGTTCATTCCTGTTGTAATTAATGTAAGATATTTTTTATATTGTAAATTGCATGATATTTACAAATTTTTTTTATTGCAAACTGAGAGAGAAATAAATACTTCAATTTGTTAAAAAATGTTAATAATCCAATTTTTTTTAAATAATTTCGGCATTTAATTTTTCTCTCTTTAATTAACATAACTTAATAATCATTTTTTTCTTATCTTCATTTAGTAGGAAACTATAAACTTTGTACAAAGAATTTCTGATCACAACATATATATGTATATATATATATATGTATATATATTAATTTAATAAGAAACAGATAATATAAATGATTATTCAAATTCCAAGGCGACTAAATACATCTGGTTTTTTCACGTGTGCTACTGTCGTAATTCTATCGAAAGTTACTTGTTTAGCACCGTTTGTTTTAATCACTCCTAAACGTGCTTTTGCCGGTATCGAAGTTAATCTTTCTGAAGCTGTAAGAAATGTTTCAAAAGAATTAAAAATTTTACAATAAAAAAAAAGTTATAGAAAGTTAAAAAAAAATGTTATTAATGCTAAATCATATACCTAATTTCCCAGATGTAATATTGGATTTTATTATTCTGTTATCTCTTGAAGATGTATTAAAAGAAATTCTTTTAGTTGTTTTTACTAATTGTGTAACATTATTAGACATAACTTTTCTATTTGCTTCTTGATCAGCTCGCATTGTGCCCATATTTTTTTTTATAATTTTATTTGTTGTAAGAATTGAGGTTCTTGAACTAGGACTTCTAGTTTTTAATATTCCTGTATTATTTGTTCCATTTTTTAATATACCTGTTTGAATCATGGTATTGTCTTTTTTGGCATCTTTATCTCCTAATCGATTAAAAACACTTACAGATCTTTTAAAAACATCTTTTCCTAATCCAGTAATATTAAATGTTGGTAATGTTTCAGTTGGGTTTGTTGTACTAGTTACAGAGCTATCACCCAACCTATCAAATACAGTTCGTTTTTGTTCAGATTTTTTAAGAATTTGTTGACTTCTAGATGTTGATCCTTTTGGAAGTATTATAGTATATCCAACTTTATTATCTTTATTATCAAGTGATTTTATTTTTTTGGATGGTTCTTGCCATTCATCTTCATTATTACTATCAAATTCATTATCCTCTTTCAATTTTCTTTTAAGAATAGTTTGTTTCTTTTGATTAGCTAAATCAGTAATTATTTCACCTGATGTTGATATAGGTTTTTTAGGAATAACAGTTTTTTTAACTGAACTGGTTGGAATTTTAACAATCTTCTTTGTAGTTAATACATCAGATTTAAGTTTAGAATTAATTATTTTAGAAGTAGAACTAGTTGCCTTAGTTGCTACTTTTTTAACTATTGGTTTGGGTGTTCCAATATTATCCTCTGTATCAACTAAGAATCTTTCACATGTTGTTTCTTCAACTACTTTTTTTGCATATCTCAAAATAGCAATCATATCTCCCATTAAAGTAATTCCCATTTCTTTGAGACTAGGTTTGTCTAAATCAGGTAACATGTCTGGTTTAATACGATTATTGGAAAACACAACTGCATGCTTTGTAGCTACATCTTGGGGAAATCCTGCTCCTTTAAAAAATTTTACCCAATATGCTATAAAAAGAAATAGTAACTATAATGATAATTTTTGAACAAAACTGAAAAATTAATTAGGCTGTAGAAAATTTTAAATACCTGATAATGATGATGCCATTTTTACCGGTTAGGTTATTTATATTACTTAATGAACAATAATATTTTATAATTTCCTATGTTAAATATAAATCATTCGCAAAAAAAAATTAATTATATTATTTTACATATTTTACAAAATTTATTATTCCTTACGCAACTTCACTCAAAATAAAGAATATTTTCATAAACGAATATATGATATCGTTTAGAGTATATAAATGATAAGAAATGTTTAATTATAATTTTTTTGATAAATATATCATAAAATATAGTTAAAAAGTAATAATAAACATCGGTATTCCATTTCTTGAAACTTCAGAACTATTCACATTCGTTCCCGTATATAAATCTATATGTATACAAAGCTAAATGCATGAGTGAATTAAAGTACTCAGATGAAAGTTTATAGAAAAGTTACACGTAGCGACATCGTTGACAAATATGAGTATTAATAATTATTTTCACTGATGAAATAAAATTATTTTTATATTTTTAAATTTTTTATAAAATATAAAATGTATATATATATATATATACATAATGTATATAATTTCATATAAAAAAAATTATAAATTTATAATAAAATTGTAATTCATTAATTTTATATAATATATAATAAAAATGTATACATAATTTATATAAATAAAAATTATAATAAAATAAATAAAAATTATAATTTATTACTAGAAAATATTATTATATTAATATATTATATTACTATATTAATATTATTATATTATAATATTATTATATTAATATATTTATATTACTATATTAAATATATATTTTATAAATTGGATATATATTATTTAAATTGGAAATAATAAATAATAAAAAATTTCAAAATAACTAAGAAATAGAAAATTGCGATTTAGAAGAAATGGATGTAATTGTTGCCGTTCTAGGTATAAAATGTTTATGTTTGCTCGTCCGTGAAGTTTCGGAGGAATGGTGTTACTCTCGTTGTTTTGGGAATTTCACGCGAATTACCGTACTATTTTTATCGTGTGTGGGTGAATCAGGTGTCTTCGTCGTCTTTGATACTATTTTCGATATCTTCGTATTCTCTCGTTTGCTGGGCGAGATTCGCGTTTAAAAGAAGAACGGAGGTTAGTTTCGGCAGATGTATTGGGGTATGTAGTTTTCTATGAAACTCAGTTTTAAATGGTTTTGAAACAGACTAATAAATATAACAAGATTTCATTATATTGTAAAAATCTTATGAAACTATTTCATTCATTCATCGTAAAATTTTATTTAAATGAGATTTATTTTGTTTTAAATTACATATCATTTTTTTTCATTTTAATCAATTGTGCGCGTAATTTGAACGAAAATAATGTTCTAATAGTAAATGAATGAAATTCTTTTTCATTTGATTTTTAAATATAATTTATATATTATAAAATATTTATTAATTAAATTACGATTAAATTTTAAATTTACGATAGATAAAGATTCATAATAAAGGTTCATATAAAATTTAATAACTAAATTTCATATATATAATATCATATTACATTTTATAAAAGAAAAATATTATTAAATACAATAATATGAGATATGATAATGAAAGAAAAAGATAATATACATATATATTCTGATAAAGACATATGTATTTTGCTAATTAATGGAATTTTCGATTTATCATGTATTTATATATTATTAGCATATTTTAAATGGATTATAAATATAATTGTAAATAATTCATAGTGATTAAGTATAGAGCCTGTTTCATGAAAACTGGATATTTGGAAGGGTAACGGGGTGTTGGATTAATGGTACGAACAAAATCAGGGAAAGTGAGCGAGTAAGTTAATGAGAAACAAGGAAAAAGAATACAGAGAGAGACAGAGAGAGAGAGAGAGAGAGAGAGAGAGAGAGAGATTGAGAGAGCGTGAGCATGTGGGAGGGGAAGCTTGTATGCCGGTGAGCAAATCGAGTGTCAGACTCGTGGCAGAGGGGTCAGCGCGAGAGAAAGAACGACACGAACCGAACATTTTCTGGACTTAGCGGGTACGTTTTCATGTTACAAAACGTACACCACTTTTCCATTCTTAGTTATTTCCATTTTTTTCATTTTTTTAGAAAATAATTTATTTTTTCTTTTTATTTTTATTTTCATTTTTTCCTTTTTTACCCTCTTCTATTCTTCTATTTAATTGTGCGCGCGTGCATTTCTTATTGCTTTATGTTTTATTAAAATTTTCTTATTAAAAATATATTAAATCATCATGCTTTTTATTATCATATAAGTGTAAGAAAAGTTTAAACAAAACTATCAATCTGGGTTATTATCAAAATCATCATATGAAAAACATAATCAAGTGTTTGTTGATTTTTATATACAGAAATGTCTGTAGCTGTGTCACACAGAAATCATTTACATTTAAAGGAACGTGAAATATCCGCGAAAGGATGAACGACATGGAAGCTTACGGAGACGGATACATGGAGCCAGAAGAAGAATGGGAGAGAGAAGGTCTTTTGGACCCGGCTTGGGAAAAACAGCAGAAAAAGGTAAATTAAATTTATTTTTTTTCCATTTAATAATATTTTATATTATTATTATATTTTCTTTTATCTTGATAAAAAATTTTGATTCTATTATTACATTCTGTAATAATAATATATATGTTTTGTTGGGTAAATAAACTGGATATATTTTATCATTATTATACTTTTAGGTATTATGTGTGACAGGAACTTTTGATAAACATAATTAATAAAAAGGTGTAATAATTTTTATATTTTGAACATTCATCATTTATAGAATATTTGACTATTAAATTTTTGAACTACTGTACATAACCTCACGGAACACAATACAATTTTTTAAATACAACCGTGTGAATATATAAAAAATTGATTCATTACCTACAATCTTTTCTTAAAAAATGAAAAACTATGTTTGAAAAAAGTGAAAAAAGTATATTTTGTATTGTAATCATTTTATATGAATTATTTAATAATATGTGTTTTTTTCAAAGTTTCTTAATATTATCTAACAGTTAAATATAATTGTATATCTTTTGGTAAAAATTTAATCAATTTTAGTTTCATTTGTAAGAAAAATATAATTGTATGATTATTATGATTTTCAGCGTTTAGAAATTATATTTTAATTATATATCTGAAACATTTTTTGCTTCTTTGTTAATTTTATTATTTACATTTATATATTATATTTTGAAATGCCTTGTAAAAATATTGGAATGCAAAGTATTTTCGATTGACAATGAATTTCTTTACACAATTCACAAATACAAATTTCGATTCACGATATATGAAGAGATAATCACGCTATAAGAATTATTCGAACAAGGTAGAAGGAAGATAGATTAATACGGTGTGAATTGATAAAATGGAACAGCTTCAAGTACGCGTTGAAAATGTTTTCTTCATTTTTGGCAGAGGCTCAAGGCTCTCAGGTCTGACTCGATTACATATGATGCTAAACCGCAGCCCTTTGGATTGTATTTTCAGACTTTATGATAAAAATAATCGAGCACTGAATCACTTCGAAGCATGGTAATTTCGTTGATATTTCTTGAGTTTTAAAGAATCTCATCGTTGTTTAAAGTAATGATTGTATACAATTATTACAGAAGAATATTTGACAATTGGTTCTGCAAATTAAACTGAAATAGAATTCGCGTAGAATTCGTTATTGTTCTTATGAAATTATGGTCATTAAATTTTATTTTCTTGTTTCTATTTTTTCAAATCGAACTTTTTACCTGGATATCAATCTTATCTTGTACTGTATTTCACTCGTGTATGTTAGTATATCGATAATAAGTATTTCTATTGATGATTTATCATGAGTCCGGAATAAATAATAATATTCTAATGCTATTCGAATTTAAAATTTTTATGTATCTATTGATTATTTAATATTGTAAAAATAGAAATTTTTAATCTGAATATTTTTATTTATATGTTTATATAAATCTATGTTGTAGTTTGTATATTCAATAAGAGGTGTTTTATCAATATTTTCATTCATGAATAGTACAACATACAATTCTTAAAATATTCCATGTATCTTTTGCATAACGAATATAGATAAACGAATATATATGGATTATTGATTATTGATTAATTGTTAAATATATAATTTTTTATAAAATTTCGAGCATTTCGAATTTTGCTTTCGAAAAACAATACTTCCCCTTATTTCGTAATTTCTATTTGATTTTATCCGCTATTCGCTATAAAAGAAATTAAATTTAATTCTTTTGCATATCAATTATCATTAGTGAAAAGTTTTTCATCGCTGGATAAGATTTAAAAATAATTTGATTTTGATATCACAGGCTTTGATTAATATTCAGGATTTCATCATAAATTGTATCCTATACGATTGAAGAAATTAACGATCGTTATAGCGAAACGCATCTACGTAGAAATGTGTTGCGTGGAATCGTCGAAGGTTATGGAATCGCTTATCTAACTGGTTACTTATTACTGTCAACTGGTCACTAGTATCGCAATGCGATACGGTGGGACTCCGCTACGGTTTGTCAGGGATATACGGCATCGATGTATGCAATACTTTCATCGTTGTTTCCGTTCGCACAACGTCTGACTTTATCGTATAAATAGACGATATATATAGATATTGCAGCCAGTCGAAGACTATCTATCATAGCCGAGGTCCATATCCTCTTTGATTGATTGCCATTTTCAAACTTAACCGGTGTTTAACCTCTCCCAATATATTGTTATATGTATTTACTATTGTATTAAACTTTTCAAGTTTTCTCATATCTATTTCAATTACAAATACAAATACTTCATTAAAATCTTTTTTTTTTTTTTTACTTATTGTAAAGTGATAATATAGTTCCAAGAAGAGTTTCAGTATATAATTATTTCATACAGTTAAGGAAGAGAAATATATTATAACAATATGTTTTCGAGTTAAAGAAAATCGAAGAGTTGCGAGTGACACAAGGGGCGATCGATCGATTTCTTCCTTGATGCGAACGAGAAGATCGTTAACCTTTGAGAAGTTTCGGCTGTGCGCCAAATCTTAGATTGGAATCGGGTGACCCATACTATACTATGCACCAGTAAGCCGATTGTTATGCGATGATAAGTTCCGCACGCGCGAAACACTTCTCTATCCTCTGTTTATTACCGATTCGATGATTATACTTCGTTAAAATGCAATTCGACACCCACGATTCGCTATTTTCAGTCGACTATTTCGTCGTTCGCAAAGGTCGAACGATAATTACGCGATAATAATCTACGCTTAATGTTAAACCGGTTGGAATAGTTTCTTTGAATGAATTTTCAGTATTTCCGTCCGCTCCCTTGATACTGTCCGTAAATAGAACATCGACCATGATGTTTTTCGTTATGTATGATACTCCAGACTTATTTTCGACACTCTGCGCGCTCAGAAAATGAAAATGATCGTAGCGTAATATCTTTTTCCTTGGGATTCCTTTACCTGAACTGCTCACGTCACGTACAATCGCGAAGGTTCCGCGGTCGATTGGCTCGCGGCATCGAGCTATCGAACGATAGATTCCAGAGAAAACGATAGTAGAACGATTATTTTCTATCGAAGATCTCTTTCGTCAAACCATTCAACTTTATTGTACATACATATAACCGTTACTATTTAACCGACTACATAGCCTACCTGTTGATCTGTTTTCCAAAACTCGCTTTTATATACATCAAGATTGATGTATATCGATAGAATGTCGCGATAACTTAATGACCATATGTCATTAACAATATATGTCATATAACAATAAATTACATCAATTCTCGTGAATATTTTTTACGATAATTTTATTGTGCGATCGTCACGTGTATCATAAGTAAAACTTGCCAATTGGATTCCTCAATCTCAGTATTTTACCTCACATTTTGGCCTTAGGTTGACGTATTTCAAGGTGAAGCAAATTGCGTAAAAAGAAAAATTAATTGATTTGATCGTCCAATAATTATTCACTGACGATGAATTTCATATATTATATCGTTTAAAATATAGTAGTAAAAAATAGAAGAAGAATTTGTGCACCTTGGTTTCTTCTTTAGCTTACGGAAGTACGACACGGATAAAAATTCAATGTAGAATTTAAGAATAGATATAAATTGCAAGCATGTTCACGCGCGATATTTAGAATTTGGGTTACGTGAATTATGTGCATCGTATTTAAGCCGTTTCATGTTTAACTGCGTTTATTTTTGGTACCAGTGCAGGTAGATTTAAAAATATTAATAAATGTAAAAATATATGATTATTCAAGTTATATATATATATATATACATACATACACACATACATATATACATACATACATACATACATATTTTCTTTCGTAAGATATGATTGTCGCAATTAATTAATACGATGTGATTAAAAAAGAAAAAAAAAATTTAATTAGATCGCGGGAAATAACACGTGATTTTTGCAATAGATCGATCGATAATAAAGTATCATAGAAATCGTTTGTGTTTATAACGTCGTGTCATTAACACACCGCCACGTGAGACATTCCTTTCATTTGTAGAAGGATAGGGATGAGTCACGAATGTAAGTAAAGAAAGCCTCGTAATACATTGTTATTCTGCAATTATAACTGTTTGTTTACATAATTCGATATTCGTTTTAATTTTTGCAAAGCCACCATTTACATAATAGAGTTTGCTGGGTCGGTAATATTTCTAACTTTTTGTATTATGCAATTATACAGGGGAAAAAAAACAAAACGTTAGATATTTATAGAATTATAGGATTGATTGCGTTAGAAAAGATTACGAGATCATAAAATGTTTTTGAATTCTCACGAAACATATTTTTGAAACAGAATTTGGTTACCCACGAGAAATGTGATCATGATTCTCATGCATATAGATATAGATCGGATATTATATCAGCGAATAAATTTAATCCCTCAATAATTTTCGTATTATTCGATATAATTCTCAACAAAATTCAAAGATTACGTTATTTCTTTCGATTTAATTTTTTTTTTTTTTTTTTTTTCACTAAATTTTTTGCTTATCGGTTGGATTAGAGACGTTGATAAATTTGAGTTACATAAATAAACACATCGATAATTGAACCAAACCGAATAGATAATGCGTTAACTGTAAATAAAAAAATATCAATTTAATATTCTTATCGAAAATAAAATGGATCAGAATGTTTTCGAAATGCTTAGGTGCTCAGCGCGGGAGGAGTCAATGTTTTACAAATAGATCTTAGAGCGCTCGTACAAGTTAAGGTGGCTCATGTCCAATTTTGGCCGGTCGTGCTTCACGCTACCCGTATTAAATTTCAGACAATATTTTTCTCTTTCTGTTTTATATTTCTTTAAAAAAAATTCACAAATGCCGATTCATAATTTTTTCAAATTCTCATGCATTTTGTTAACGACATATAGTTCACATTTTAACGATATTATTTATCTATAATATTATAAAATATTTTTTCATAATATTTGTTCCCATATTTATTGTTTTGTCAAACATATTATGATTATCAAAAGTACATAATTTTTGATAAATGTAATAATAATAAAAATATTTTCCTATAATTTCATTAAAATTATTTATATTATTTATATTATTTTTTTAATTATATTTCAAATGAAATTATGATGAAATTGATAAATTGTTCTAAGATTTATTTGTGTATTCTCATTAATATCATAGTATATATGTAGAGTAAAAGAATAGAAAAAACATTTGTGTTATAATTACGTTTTCATAATTTGAATATTTTGATTTTAACAAATAAATATTTAATTTACAAAATATATAAAATGAATTGCATTGATTAATCGTGAAATGGAAAACATGTTGTGCATTGCTTAAGTTTATCGAATTTTTTGTTACAAGATATCAAGGGTTTGAAAATCTTTAGTCTGGCCAATAGGAAGAACAATTTAAGAACCGGGACAGAAGATATATATAGCAAGAGTGATTGGGGTCGTTACTAAAATATACACTAAGTAGCAGTCAAGCTCAATTCTTCATTTTAAAATCTTTTTAACCATGAAACATTGGTTTATTTAATTTAATTTGGATATTATATCTTATTTGAATAATATTTATTAATTCATCAATAATATCAATTTTCAATGTACACACACATATATATATTTATATATATTTATACTTTCAGACATTCACAGCATGGTGCAATTCGCATCTTCGTAAAGCGGGAACCGCCATTGAATCGATCGAAGAGGATTTTAGAAATGGACTGAAATTAATGTTACTGCTCGAGGTAATTTCTGGCGAAACACTTCCAAGACCAGACAGAGGAAAGATGAGGTTCCACAAGATTGCAAATGTGAATAAAGCTCTTGATTATATTGCCAGTAAAGGCGTAAAATTAGTATCTATTGGAGCAGAGGGTAAATATTTAGGATCGTTATTCGTTTATCGTTTCATACAATTATATTAAGTAATCAATTGTGATTGTAAATTTAATCAATAATGCCATTTATTTATAATTCTCGGATAGAAATCGTGGACGGCAATTTGAAGATGACATTGGGTATGATCTGGACCATTATATTAAGATTTGCTATTCAAGATATTTCCGTGGAGGAGATGACTGCTAAAGAAGGTCTTCTACTGTGGTGCCAACGTAAAACTGCACCGTATAAAAACGTCAATGTTCAAAACTTCCATCTGTCGTTCAAAGATGGTTTGGCGTTTTGCGCTCTTATTCATCGTCATCGACCGGATCTTATCGATTATAATAAACTTAGCAAGGATAATCCTTTAGAGAATTTGAACACTGCCTTCGATGTTGCTGAAAAATATCTCGACATTCCTCGTATGTTAGATCCTGATGGTAAGTACGTATTGTTTAATCCTTGAAAAAAAAATGTTTTATCAAAGCAAAAATGTTAAATATTATATTTTGTCGATTAACGCGAGAGGTTAGTTTTCTTAACCTATACCTTAGGCATTTCCTTGGAGTTTAGGATGGAAATACGATGAAGTGAGCTTTCACTATTTTATTAAAACGTACAAATTCTTAATGTTATATTCCCTTAATATCATATAGATTTGATCAACACACCCAAGCCAGATGAGCGTGCAATCATGACGTACGTGTCCTGCTACTACCACGCGTTCCAAGGTGCTCAGCAGGTCAGCGTAAAGAAATGCGTGTTGTTCCCTTACTTTGGTTACAAAATGACCTGTGCTATCACTCTTTCACTAATACTAATACATTACGATCGTATGCTTACACTTAACAGTGTTTCGTTATGCTAATTTCATTGTATAACTGTTATAATTGTTTATGTTTCAAATGTTACATACTTTTACAAAAAGAGAAAAAAAAATCTTGACTCTTAAGCAAAGATTTTTTTTGATTTAACTGTATGTATAATTTTTTTTATTACTCCTATAGTGTACCATGACCATGATGTTATTAACTAGAGACAATTATTATGCATATCTTTCAATTATTATTACGAACGAATTACAATTCGTCGAAATATCGATACTTCTTGATTGACAAAAAAAAAAAAAAAAAAAAAAGAAACAAAAATTTTTCGATGGACATTTTTGCGCTAACATTGCATGGTTTGAGTTTTTCCGAATGTGTTTTTTTTAGATATGCGAAATACAGCAATGCCCGATGAACGAGCTGTGATGACCTACGTTTCTTCCTACTACCACTGTTTTAGCGGTGCACAAAAGGTGTGTGATTGCAAAATTAACCGATAATAATAAATTTGATCGATTGAATTGAATTTCAATCAAAGAAAATGTGTTCGTAAAAACATCATCTACGATGATAAATTGATATATCAAAGAATTTATTTTCCTGTTTGATTTTTTAATTATTAATATTTAATTATTAATATTTTAAATAATTTTTAATTATTAATATATGTATTTATTAATATAGGCAGAGACAGCTGCGAATAGAATATGCAAAGTTCTGAAAGTAAATCAGGAAAATGAAAGGCTGATGGAAGAATATGAACGTCTGGCGTCTGACTTATTGGAGTGGATAAGGCGAACTATGCCTTGGCTGGCTAGTCGACAGACCGATAACTCCCTTGCCGGTTGCCAGAAAAAATTAGAAGAATATAGAACGTATCGTCGTAAGCATAAACCACCCCGGGTCGAACAAAAAGCTAAACTGGAAACAAATTTCAATACTTTGCAAACGAAATTGAGATTGAGCAATCGACCTGCTTATATGCCAACAGAAGGAAAAATGGTATCCGATATAAATAAGGCTTGGAAAGGTAAAATATTATATTCGATAAGATTTTGAATATATATATATATTTTTATTAAAAAGTATTAAGATTCGATTCGATTGTAGGTTTGGAGTTGGCAGAGAAATCGTTCGAAGAATGGCTGTTGTCTGAAATGATGCGTCTCGAACGCTTGGAACATTTGGCTCAGAAATTCAAGCACAAGGCTGATGCGCATGAAGAATGGACAGCAGGAAAGGAAGAGATGCTTACGTCGCAGCACTTCCGACAATGTAAGCTCAACGAACTCAAAGCTCTGAAGAAAAAGCACGAAGCTTTCGAATCGGATCTTGCTGCTCATCAGGATCGCGTAGAACAGATAGCTGCTATCGCTCAAGAGCTCAAGTATGTCCTTAATTTGTGATGATTCTGTGAGAGTCAATAAAATCTTTCCTTGGGAGGAATATGAATCACACCTTTTTTTTTCTTTTTTCAGTACTTTGGAATATCACGATAGCGCGTCCGTTAATACTAGGTGTCAACGAATTTGCGATCAATGGGATCGTTTGGGTACTCTTACCCAACGCAGGCGTCAAGCGCTAGACGAAGCTGAACGTATTCTTGAAAAGATTGACGTTCTGCATTTGGAATTTGCCAAGCGAGCTGCTGTGAGTTCATTTTATCATTTTGTCACATTTTCTTGTATATTAAATGTATATATAAAATGTATATAAATATATATAAAATATATATATATAAAATGTATATATAAAATGTATCTATAAAATGTATTTAATTGTTATTGTATGTTATTCAGCCATTTAATAACTGGTTGGACGGAACCAGGGAAGATTTAGTGGATATGTTTATCGTCCATACGATGGAGGAAATTCAAGGATTGATGGATGCTCACGCAGCGTTTAAAGCAACTCTCGGGGAAGCTGATAAGGAATACAACGCTATTGTGGGATTAGTGCGTGAAGTTGAATCAATAGTGAAACAATTCCAAATCCCTGGAGGGCTTGAGAATCCTTACACCACCTTAACTGCTTTGGATCTTACGAAGAAATGGAGTGATGTCAGGCAACTTGTACCTCAACGTGATGGTACACTTCAAGCGGAGCTTCGTAAACAGCAGAACAACGAATTGCTTCGACGACAATTTGCCGAGAAGGCTAATGCGGTTGGGCCGTGGATAGAACGCCAATTGGACGCAGTTACAGCTATTGGCCTCGGTCTTCAGGGTACTCTGGAAGATCAACTGCATCGTTTGAAGGAATATGAACAGGCGGTCTATCAGTACAAAGTTCATCTTGAAGAACTCGAAAAGATTCATCAAGCTGTTCAAGAGGGTATGATATTTGAAAACCGATACACTCAATACACTATGGAGACATTACGCGTTGGATGGGAACAATTACTCACTTCTATAAATCGTAATATCAATGAGGTTGAAAATCAAATTCTTACCAGAGATTCGAAGGTGAGTTTTTTTTTTTTTTTTTTTTAAGAATAATTGTAATCCATCTTTCTCATGGTTTATTAAACTATTATTAAATATAAATTTAACGTATATTACAGGGTATCACGCAAGAACAACTTAACGAATTTCGTAGTAGTTTCAATCATTTCGATAAGAATCGTACAGGTAGATTGGCTCCTGATGAATTCAAGTCTTGTCTCGTTTCACTTGGATATTCTATTGGAAAGGATAGGCAAGGCGATATCGATTTCCAACGTATCCTAGCTATTGTTGATCCAAATAATTCTGGTTACGTACACTTTGACGCGTTCCTAGACTTTATGACTCGTGAGTCTACAGATACGGATACGGCTGAACAAGTTATCGATAGTTTCCGTATACTTGCCGGAGACAAGGTTTGCAATGCTTTTATTTATATAGTAAAAAAATATAATATTATTATTTTGAAACAAAAATTAATTATTGCTAATTTGCATCGTTTAGCCGTACATCTTGGCAGACGAATTGAGAAGAGAATTGCCACCTGATCAGGCTGAATATTGTATTCAACGAATGCCACCTTATAAAGGACCGAACGCAATTCCTGGAGCATTAGATTATCGTTCGTTCTCTACTGCTCTATATGGTGAATCGGATTTGTAAAGATAAAAATGTGTTAAAAATTGAGGGAACTTTTGGATGATTTCCATTTAAAAAAGAAAAAAAGAAAAAAAAACAGATCAAAAGTTATTCGAAACATTCGTCACGTTTCTGATGCATCTTTATAAATTAAGAATCTCAATACGATAAAAAAAAAAAAANAAAAAAAAAAAAAATAGCCTAGCATAAAAAGATATAATGTTCAAAACGATGAAAAAGGTCTAATTTGTTTATACGCGTCACGAGTGTTAGCAATTTTTTATTCGTGATATTTTTTTAACGTAAGGGAACCTGAGAGCTGTGTCGATAAACACCGTTTGATGAACACCGTTACGATGTCTATCATATTGTTACGAAGTAAAAAATCGATAATGCTCGATAAAGAGGGTCCGTACTTAAATGAATAAGTCTGTACAGTGACAATAAATGTACAATTTTAGATACCTTAACGTTAAAAGAATAGCACACAATCAAATACATCAAGTTCTTCTAGAACGTTTGCTTCTTGCCTATGTCTGCGATGAGTCCTATAATTAGTAAGTTAATATTTCAATTGTATATAAACATGTCCGAGAAGTCACACGAGTATCAGTAATAGAGACAAATAATAAGCATTTCCTTTTCGCAAGCGTTCCAGAAAAGGATATAAAACTATACTGTTCCATAAATGAATATTGTATTAAAATGAGCAATTTAATTAAATGGTTTATTATGTACAATTTATTACGTGCGCCGATATTGCAGCCTTACACATTTATTATTATTAAGAAAGAAATCATATATATATATATATATAAAATATATATAGTTTATCGATAATATTTATATAGTTTTGACAAAGATGAATTGAATTCAAATGTTTTTATCAAAGTATAATTTAATTTCCTTTTGATTCATCTAAATGAAACGATTATTTCAATTATATTTAAATAACGTGATATGAGACGTGTATCTCACAGTTCCTAAATGCAATTTCGTAAATCGATGGATTTTTTTATTACTTTTAGTTTTAAAACGAACTTTTTTTTTTTCAAAAGAAATAGATATGATTCAAATATAAGGCGCAAATCGATGTTCGTAAAATAAAGCGAAAATTCATAATATGTGTATAAATTAAGATTATTAACGATGTAAACGAATTTTTGAAAATGCGTACGTATATACGAAACGACCTTCTCGCTAAGGATCCAGAAAAATTATTACGCTCGAAATCGAACATGATGTTCATATTTTTTTATAATTAAGCGGTATTAAGAATTCTTGAACGAGAAAGCCGCTTTTATCTTTTTTTTTTTTTTTTTTTTCGTAAATCGCATATTAAATAATAATGCGAAACGATGCTAAAGAAAGCAAATTATTTATTTATTTTGAATGAAATAATTATTTATTATTGTTCCGATATAATTAATTACCGTAGTAAACGAAGCCACTTTTTCAAAGTATTTATTTTTATAAATATTTGAGAGAAGTGAAGATAAACGAAAGGCCACTGTAATATAAGAATTATTGTAAAATTTCCAAATAGCAACCGCCATTTTTTTGTGTCATGTGTATTCAGATCACACAATTTATATTCAACAGCCTAAAATATTTCATCATTTAATCGAATCATTGTCGTCCAATATCATTATGTTATCTCAATGCCATGGAAGACGCTCGTGTGTGAAATGCAATTATTCGAGAAAAAAGAAAAAGTACACGGTATACTTTTTTTTCATGCTTGGAACTTAATGCTTCTTCAATCTATCTATCTTAACGCGTTTTTGCGAGTTCACAGTAATTTCTTTTATCTTTATTTTCGTTAAAAAAAAAAATGTTATTATATTGGGCTTTTTATAGGGATAAAAAAATATATAAAAAGAACTGGAAAGATCTACTGATCTACCAAACACTATACAAGTTCAAGTATATGTTGTAAACACATAAAAAATATACAAATACACACACGCACACGCACATACGCACATACACAACATATGTATATATATCTATATATATACTCACGTACATTACATATACATATCCATGGATGAAGTTATGAACATTCGTAATATGAAAACATAATTAATTTAAAAATCACTACGTATGTGTTCAATGTATGTATATGCCGAAAGAAATCTTTCTAAAAAAAATCAAATTTTCGATATGTTCAATATCGTATTGTGTACACATATACATTCTCATTAATAATCACATGTATGCATAATTATAATTCTTATAATTTTACATTAATTTAATATAATATTTACAATTTTAATTTGTTTCAAATATCAGCTCGACAATCGTATCATATTTTTCATGTAATACTTGTCGATTCTACTACTTTTGTTTTATCAATTTCATCTTCCTCAGCTAGATTAATAACAAAAAAAAAAAAGTATTATAAAATATCAAGCTAGGAGAAAAAAAAATAAAGGTCTTTGAAAAGAGAGCGAGAGCGCGCGCGCGAGAGAGAGAGAGAGAGAGAGAGAGAGAGTGAAGACCGTTCAAATTTTGTATTGAAAAAAAAAAAGCGTAAAAATTGGGTATAATTGTTTTTAACGTATCCTAGTATGCGTCATATCAAGTGGGCGAAATAATAACAAAAAATATTTAAATAAAAATTTCTAACAGTGTGGTTAAAAATGGATGCTTTTATTCCAAATACAAAATGTATTATATATATAAATATATATATATATAATATATCTGATTCAATCTTTCGATCGAGTTCGTAAGAAGTCTTGCAAATATTTTACATATAATCTTAAGAAAAAGATAAAGATTTAATCTTTTTTATACTAAATGTATACCAACGTTTAAATTATTAAGTTGGTATTACGATATCCAATAACGCAAGCTAAATCTATGTATATACAATAGCTATAATATTTACAAACTTTTTATTAACGATAATATCACCATGCTTCATTTCTATTGGTTATGGCTACACGTGTTCGTAAAAATGAAAAAAAAAGATCTTTCCGTCTCGTTGTACAATTAATTCGATAGAAAAGTGACTTCACGATTTTGATTCATTTGTTTCATTTGGATAATATTTAATATTTTTCGTAATTATTGTTCGATCGATAATTCAAAAGAAATTATTCCTTGCAGCCAAGTCCAGCTGACCAATTGCAAATACCACCGACTGGGTCAAAAGATAACCTGTCAGGACAAGTGTACTCGGCTCCGATCACCAATCCGTTTACCATTCTGGCGCAAATAATGAATTTTTTACAAGAGTAAGGGTGAGGAAAATTGCCTTGGTCCAAGCATCGAAAAGTTCCTTTACTCGTGAGAAAGAGTTTTCCATTGAAGGTTGATTTTCCGATCACCGGTTCCTCCTCATCCTCGTAATAATCGTAATCGACAACAGGCGGTCGTTGTCTAGGCCTTGTTGTCGTCGAGTTTCGATGAGTTTTATCCTTCGTTCCCGGCTTCTGTCGATCACTGAGAGCCGGTGTAAACCTGAGGCTAGCCCTGCTTGTCGTTGCATCTGTTCTAGGTGCAACCGTAGTGCTTATTTTGCGCTTCAGGGCGTTCCGTAACGATGGTCGACCTGATCGTTTAACTCTATTAGTTATATTCGATCCCCAATAAAATAGACTAGAAGAATCCCGTTAGAAACCCGTGGAAAAAAAAACATAAAACATGATTTATGTCCAGCGTGAAGAACAAGATATGCCTGCACGTGTAAAGATGCAGACGAGAGGAGGGAAAGAGTATCAATGTGCTTGAAAGTTATAATTGTATTAGTAATTCGCATTATGCTGTTGATACAGTGATGAGAAAGGCGAAAAAAACATGATTACGATATATAGGGTGAAGATATATAGTATAGTAAGGACAAATAAGATTAGAGAAACGGGAAAGACTATTATGAGATCGACGAAGTAGAATTCAGTCAAGAGATGTTGATTAGCTTCTATTAGATCCCCAAAAAATGATATACCTCTTCGAAAGTAATAACAATGTGATTAGTTCTTGATGGTAAACCTCGTTTCCATAAAGGTTTCACAGTGGTTTGAGTTTCAGTATGGAAGAAGTACACAAAAATTAGAAGTCAGTAAATGAGAGTAAATTTCGACCAAGTGATACCGACTGATTCGCCAGGAAGAGTAGAGGAAATTATAAGTCGAAGATTACGGTGCGATGAGAAATTATATCCCAAATGATCCATGAACGAAAGTGAAATATGCGCGCGATTTAATATTTTAGTTTAAATAAATTAAGAAATCTGATGGTGGAGGATTTAACAAGTTGTGTGTACCGGTGGTTGATGATTGCACAGACGGTGGATCCGCCAATGTGACCGCGATTTCTTGTGCTCTACTATTTTGATCGATATCTTTCTCAGGTTTCGAAGTTTCCGTTCTTTCATCCACGGTATCTAAAACAATATGCAAATGTTCTTATAGATACATATATAGCTTGTGCAACCATTTCTAATTAAAAATTTGTATTTTGTTCAACCATTTATTAGAAGAAATTTGAATTTGAAATATTTCGCGCGAAAATTGTTCCGCGTAAATATTATCCTGCGCAGTCGCAATAATGGAAGATGGTATGACACCTGGCGGTGATCGTGCGATGCAATACCAGTTGGCGGGACATGATACGATTGAGTTATTAAATTGTTTTAAACAGTGAAATATTGTTAACGTGTTTCATATTTGTCGTGTATCATCACTTACCCAGTGTTTCGTTAACAACAGTTTGTAATTTTCCATCGGTCAGATGAGTCTTTCGATGATTCGCGAATGTGTTTGTAGTTTTGCTTTGCAATGGCGTCAAAGTGAATGCAGTGGGTTTTCTCAATCTGGTCGACGACAAATTTCCTGGTGTACGAGATGTTACCGTATTCTTCGAGGAATTCACCTGTTCGTAGAGCACACGTACATTGTATATCTATCCTAATCACCGAGATGGTAAGTACAATTTTGCGATCAGTCAATAAAAAATATAAATTGATTGTCAATTGTTATAAGTCATTGTAGAGATTGAAATTATTATAAAATATTTTACGTATCAAGCATTATAGAAGAATTCTTACAAAATTCATCTATAATCGATGAAAATTTTTCGAAAAAATATTTAGAAATTGATCGAATTATGGCGCGATTAATTTAAATTTGAAACATGTAGTATATTTGTCAATATTTCGTAGATGGCGCTTTGTAACGCTCAGTCGTATCAGTGACGTATCAAAAATCAAAAATCCCTTATTTTATAAATATTTGAACTTTTTTTATCAATTTGACGTAAAAACTTATATCAATTGACACGTTGGTTTCGTTTTACTCTAAATAATCGTTCGAACTAGAAAGCATTGAAACGATACATAAGAGAAGGAAAGAAAAGAATAATGAGAGAAGAAGCTCGAGAGATAACAATGGCAATTTTTGTGTTAAATTGCTGAATTTCCTAGTTAAGCATTAACCCTTTGCACTTGTTGATATCTTACTGTATAAGCGGCAATGAACAAAGGTTATAGAAAAAGTTTCAATAATTGTCCAACTCGCTTTACCTTTAAAAATGAGCCGAGCACAAAGGGTTAAAATATATCATAAGACGAACATATAAAGTAAGCGTAGCGCAGGCGCTTTAAAACGTGCGATATGCGCCTCGTAGAGAGAAATATAGTGTTAATTGATTTGAAAATAGAGTAAAATCAGCGGTAGATGAAGATAAGAACGCATGATGGTAGAAAAAGTGCCCGATGAATTTCTTCCGTTGATTATAATCCCTTCAGAGATAGTTTTCCTCCTGTTTTCGTTAATCGTAGCCACAGAAGAATCGAAGCAACTTCTTTTTATCATTAGGTATGAAATGAAAGACTTGCGCTTTGTTACGTAGTATTTTAAAGAGAATCATCGACGTTTTGCCCTTCATTTTCTCGTTCAAACGGTAAACCAAAACGAGGATGAGTCGTTTCAATGTTTTTATCGATGAACGTTGCGTATCCCATTTTGTTTGGTTAGGTATAAAAGGTAAGAGTGAGCGATAGCATCTGAGTTAGCATTATATATTGTAAAGAAATTGTTATATACTTCTTTTTTTATATCATCGAGTCGCAAGTGTAGGAAATTTAAAGTCTAAACTGACCTCGGATTCGGATCGATCGATATTCTCCTCGATCCGAAGATGTTCTTCGTCGAAAACAGCTTCGTTTCTTGTTTGATTTGCCTTTGATATTAGCTTCTTTTCCACATTTGTTTCTTCTTTATTTGTGTCTTTCCAATCATTTGGATTTCTCATGGAATCATTCACTTTTGTTTCTTTCAAAGTGGTTACTTCGTAAACGAACGAATCGTTCACAGCTTTACCATTGAAAACAGGTCTGCGTAACGGTCTTCGATAACCTATAATTTTACGACGAGAATTTTGCGTTCTTTCAACTACTTTCGTTGAATTCTCTTGATTTTTGTTCAATCGATTCACGTAATAACGATTCTGGCCACGTCTCCGAAATTTACGACCAAATTCGTAATTTGAAGTAAATTTAATTTTTTCATCGTGGGTATTGAACACATTAATCGTCGTATCGGTAACCGATGTTTCCACGGTGCTAGAAGAAAGCGTCGTGGTCGATAAAATCGATTTGAATTCTCCGTCATTAGATTTTCCTCTATTTTGACTATTTATCGAATAGCTGTTTTCTAAATCCGCAGAATGCGTTGTATTCTCCATATATAATTCCGTTACATCTGATTCTAATAAGTTTGTATCAGTTGTAATATTGGAAGGTATCGCGGTTACAGGAATTACGGTATTCAAAATAGGAGTATTCTGATCATTGATTAGGGATTTTTTGGTCGTGGAATTAATAATCTCGGATTCATTAGAAGATTGGGAGGTAAGCATAGAAAGTGACGAATCGGATAAAGATGTGGAAATCGAAGAAGTTGTTACATTTTCTTCTGGAATTGAAATCCTGGTAAATTTTATTATCGATGATACATCTTTCTCTATTTGGACTTGATCCATTGAAACAGATGTGCTTTCCACTCTACCCTTGACTCTAGCTCCATTTCTACTATTTTTCATGGATAATTCGGTATTAAAAGTCGTAGTAACGTCAGACTCAAGATTTTCTTCGATGTTATCATCGTGCTCGAGATCGGTAATCATTTTTCCATCTATATCGGATTGTCCAATTTTTTCAGCGATCCCAGAAGGAGTATTTTCATTAGTCTCTACAGACAAGGTGGTAAATTCGGTAGTTAATGCGTCGATCTTTACTCTTTTCGACATTGAATGTTCCGTTTCGCTTCTAGTGACATAAAAACCACGCGGAACTTGGCTGTGCAGCAAATTGATCAATGGAATGCCACGCATAGTGGTAGGCTTCAGATTGATTTCTGACGAATCTTCACGATCGATTCTCTTCTTGTTAGCGAACGAAGTATCGTCCTCGATGTAATACGCGTGTATACTATCCGCGGTTAAATCTGATTGAAAATCATTTTGTATCTCGTCATCGTGCTTGTTCCAAGATCTAAGTTCTGTATCGTTGAAAATCGTATTCTTTTCAATAACCTCTTCGAGAACGCGATCAACATTTTTCTGTTGCGATAAAACCTCTTCGCTCTTCGCTGTGAGAGGAAACAAATTCAAGAATACGGGCGATGGACCGGTGGCGATGTAATTGTTCGTTTGATAACCGATTAGTTCCTTGAGGGTTGGCAGTCTATTAACTTCCGTGTTGGCCACCTGAAAATCAGAAGAGGGTAGTACGCTTAATGACGATCTTCCGAAATCTTTCTCTTCGATCTCTCTCGTTCTCTCTTTCTTTCGATTATTCTTGCCAATTCCTTCTTGTCCTAAAGCGCAAGAGAGGGAGAGAGAAGGTAAAGAAAGCGGACGATCCTCTGCGTTCGCAAATCCATATAGATTCTGGTTGCATCATTTGCCTCGGTAACCGAGAGTTCTCGCACAAACGGTGAATCGGTTAAAATGTATTTGGCGATGATTTGAAGAAGGGCAAGAGGAGAGTTCTCTCGATTAATCCGTATTAAATATCTGGTAAATTTTTAATGATGCGTAATAAGGATAATCGTGTCTATGTACATTGTTAATTAATGACGAATGGTGATAAGATGCGATATCACTTGGCGGAGTCCCTGTTTCCGATCAAATTGCTGAACACCGATTCGATCTCGATCGTGGACGATTCGTGAGACTCGGTGGTGAATCGTGACGGATAAAGGAATTCGCTCTCTATGGGCAAGGTGGATCTTTCCAAGTGACTTTGTCGAATTTCATTCATCGATTCGTCCTCATCGGATCTTTCCAACGTTATCCCGGGGATCGAGGATGACGTAACGACTGAATATTCCAATGGAACGACCGTAGCCTGAAGAGGAATTTTTGTGGTCGAAGTAAGCGAGGAATATTTGGTTTTAATCAGAATCTTTTGCCTTTCCGTGGTGCCCGATTCCTCGACGGACGTGACAAGTCTCGTTATCAGCGGTTGGGGAGAAGGCGTGGTCGTATAGTCCTCTTCGACGACCAAGTTTCCTATCTCTGTTCGTTCTTCGTTCGAATTCGTCAAAGTGGTCGAGTCTTCGTTCCGATTGGTCGTTCGTGAAGTGGTCGTTCGCAACGATTGTTGCTGCCTCCTGTGAGCATCCGCCGCGTAGTCAAACTTTTTCGCTGGGATCAGGGTCTCGGTGACGGGTGTCTCCGTGGTGGAAACTGTTGGGCGTCTCGCGTAGAAACGCGTTCTCACTTGCGTCGAGGAATCGTAGCTGGGCGATTGCGTGGCATCCGGAATCGACTCTTCTTCGCTCTCTCGATTCCTCCTTATCTCTCTATACTTGTAACGCGTTCTCGGTTGACGAAAATTTTGATACCTAGATCTGGGATTGTTCGCTTCTTCGGATTCATTCGAATCCAGAGGGTAAACGTTTTCGGTGCTCAACGTTTTCTTGATAAATACCGGAACTCGGTATCGAGGACGAATCTCTGGCGATCGATCGCCAGTAGACGGTATCGGCTCATGCGTTCGATCCTCGTTCTCGAGTATCGAAGAGGTATCCTCATCGAGCGTCGCGTTTCTCGTCAGAGGGGACGAGAGTTTTTCGATAATCGATGGGGTAGTGGTGTAGCGATTCGAAAATTCTTCCGATTCCTGATCGATGGGCGGAGTAGTGGGATATGAAGTTTCACCATTGTTTCTCAGAGTAACCTCTTCCGTATCGAATCGCGGATCTCTCTCCTCGTCGTCGTCGTTGATCGTCGTTCTCGAAGTGGTTGTCGAAGAAACCGGTCTACGACGAACGAACAAACTCTTTCTACGTTTCGAAATACCTTCCAATTTATTTTTTTCACTCGTGGACAAATAGCTCGAAGTTTCCACGATCGAATTTCGATCGTTGCTGTTAAAATTTTCCGGGGAAGAAGGAACAACTGGTCGCCTGCCCACGAATTTCTTTCTCACGTATTTCGAGTCTAAATAATACGTCCTATTGTACGCCTCTAATCTACGATTAGATTGAGAGACGACGGAAGCCGTTGAACTTGGCCAAGAAACGATAGTCGGCAATTCATTGGTCAATAATTTTTCATCCAAAATATCGTTCGAAAAGTTGGACGAAGTTGATTCCACGGAATTGGTTTCCGTCACCGTCGATTCCTCCGTCGTCGATTCGCTCGCTATAGCTGTAACGTTATCGATTATCGTAGAGGCCATCGTGACAGGATCGAAATCGAACGAGCTCGTATCGTCACCGAGCACGCTCTCAACGGTTGTCGGTGTTTCCAAAGTCATTGCAAAGTCATCGGCTATATCGATCGTCTCCGTAACGGTTACCGCTGTTGCCAAATTTTCCGTTGACGCGTCCGTGATCGTACTTATCCCCTCCTCCTCCTCCTCCTTCGGTGTCATGGTGGATACAAGGCCAACGAATAAAATTTGCTCGGTAGATGGCACGTCTATCGTAGATGTCGCGTTTTGAACAGGGCGAAGACGTTTGATCACCTTTCTTCTTCGCGTGTGCGGTCTACTCTCTCGTTCCACGGACATTTGCGTAGTGGTGACGGGTCGTCTTCTGAGAAGAACCTTCCTTCGCCTCGGATGCACGGCGTTTGTGTTCTCCTCGTTAATCGTCTCGCTGATATTATTCGCGATTTTAATCACGTTCGTGTCAACGATTTCATCGTCTTCCATCGTCGTCACCGTTACATCCAATCCTTCCGTTCGATGATCGTCCGTCACCTCGGTGATTACCTCGTTTTCCATCGTCGATTCCACGGTACGTGGTTCCATTGTGCTCGTTTCGAGATCGGTTGTGGTTTCCTGCGTTGTTATCGACGTCGTTGTGCTCGTCGTTTCTATCGCGACTTCGTCTATGGAGTTGAGGATCGGTCGTTCCGTCGTAGTCAGTGGCACGGTTACGGCGTCGTTCGTGGTACGATCGAGGAAGGACGAGGGAGGAGACGACGTGATGTCAGGCGTGGAAACGTTATTTCTCTTCCTCGTGTACCTCGTTCTGGCATACACGTCCCTGTTCACCTGCCCGATCGGCGTTTTCAGTATCTTTATATTGGTAATCTTCTCGATATCCCCGTCCTCTTTAACCGCGTTCCTCGATCTCGAGGACAAGCTTCTTCTTGGATAAGCTTGAACGATCCTCACGATGGGGCTGTCCTCGAGCTCGTTGGCTCTCGTGGACTCGGTAGTGGTGGTGGTGGTGGTGGTGGTGATTGTGGTAGTGCTAATTTTAGAGGCCGGCCGACGAAATCTTCTTCTAGAAGAACCTCCCTCCGTGTTGAGAGGAGGTTCCGTCGTGGCTCGAACGCGTTCTCCTTGGAGCGTGGAATCGGAAGAGGTGGAGCTCTCGTTTCTAAGTTTGAAGGTGGGCGGTGTGTATCTGCTCGCTCCCCTGATCCTCGACGAGGGTCTCGCGCGTGTACGAGCGAGCGCCCCTTCATCGCCCTCGTCGTCGTGGGAACTTTCCACGTTTCGACCATGCTTCTCCTGCCTTGGTCTTAATCGACCTCGTCCTACCAAAAGGGACGAGCGCGTGTTGTTTCGCGACGGAATACTCACCTTGGTCCTCGTCTGATCGTTGGACGGTGGCAATGGAGTGGTGGTGGTGGTCGTGGGCTCGGTCGACGGCCTGTTTCTTCGATTAAAGCCGAACGGCCTCGGCTGAGACACCGACGCGGTGCTGATCCTCGTATTCGGAATCGACAACGTGGACAAGCTCGCTGGCGCCGTGGTCAACAGGATCTCCGTCGCCGAATCTTCTACGAGTTTCACGGAGTCGGTGGTGGTCGAGCTCGACTCCGAAGTCGTTGAGAGGATCGCTCTCTCCGTCTCAGTTTCTTCCGTTCTTCCCGCCTCCGTTTCAACGGGGAGGATGTCGTCGTTGGACGTCGAGGACGAACCGATCCAAGGTAAGGTATTTGTTGTTAACGGGCTGGTCGTCGTATCTATTTTCTCGTCGCCGATTTTCGACGGTTCGATCGAAACGATCGATTCCGTGGTCGATGCAACAATCTCCGAAACAGCCTCCGTCGATTGGGGAGTCGTGCTTCTGAATCTTTGCACGCTCACGTATCTATAAGATTATTAAGAAATAAGTTAATCGATCGACATAGCGTTGTTTTTTTTTTTCTATGTAATAAAAATAATTTGGAAATATGGAAAAAAACCTGGATTTAGTCGTTTGCGAGTTTTCTTCGCTCGCGGATGAACGAGATTCCTCGTCTCTAACATTTTCGGTTGAGCTCGTCTTGGTATTGCTGTTAATTTTTCAGATCTTTAATTTAGATTTTTTTCATTGTTATGGAAGAGAAGACTTACCTTGGACGTCGGCGTCGAATTGGCGCCTCCTCTTCTCCATCCTTGTTTTTCTCCTCAACGTCGTTCTCGTCTTTCCTGAAGGATTTACATTTTGTAAGATAACGTTTCCTCCCTTCATCTCTTTCTTCGCTTACCTCGATGTTGAGGGTCGAGCGCGTCTTATATCGATGTAATTAGGCGTCACCCTCTGCGTCGAGCTGGTTAGAAAAGGATTGTTAATCGTTTGCTCCTCGGAGGAAGCCACATCCGTGTTGTCTCCGTCCAGATCCTCTTCCCCTTCCTCCACCTCTTCCCCGTCCAACGGCGGTTCCTTCGTCGAATGCCTGAACGAAGAAACGACGTTCGATCCGGTCAGTATCGCGGGATAGGAACGAGGGAGAAAAAAGTTGTAAAAATACCATTTTCTTCGTACTTTGGTCTCTCGATGGTCACGTATTTCGGTTTCTGCGATCGTCTCAATCCCTTCACCTCTGGAACCTCTTCCAATCCCTCGAACTGCGCTCTCCCCGGCCCATTCGCGAAATTCGTATTGGTCGAAGATCTCTGCCTGCTCGTAACTTTACCAGCCTGACGATTCAACACGCGCTCGTACAAGGTGCGACTTATAGTAGCTGGTGTAGCACTCTCTCCGCCAGAGTTCGCCGAACTCTCATTGGAATTTTTGTCTTGAAGCAACAACTGTTTCTCCAATTGCTCTATACCACCTGCTTTCTTGATCAGCGTTATCAGCTCCTTTATAACCTTTGGATCCTCTTCGTCCTCCGAATCGATCGATTTCGAAGTCGTGAAAGTCGCCTCTGTTGTTGTTGTAGTAGTAGTAGTACTCGTGGTACTGGCAGTGCTAGGCTTGTTTCTGGTGATCGTTTTGTACAGAAGCGTCTTGGGAGTGGAAGTCACCTTGTCTTCCTCTTTCTCTTCCTCTTCCTCCCCTTCTTCTTCCTCGTCTTCGTCCTCGTAATATTCGTATTCTTCCTCCGGATCCGGTTTCGCGGTGGAAGGTCGACGCGTGGTGGTGCTGTATAGGTAAGTGGTGCGGCTTGTGGCGGCTGTTATCGGCGCTCTGGTCGTCGACGCCGACGACGACGTCTTCGATTTCGGACACGCGACGTTGCGAGGGTAATCGCAGGAATCGGCTGCCTTATTGAACACCAATCCTGCGCGAATAAACGAGAAAATTTTTACAAGAGCGAATTTAAACATGACGGATTAAATAATTACCGGAAGGGCAGGTGAACTGATGCGCAACCACTCCCAAACCTCCCGGGCCGCTATCCAAGCACCAGAAATATTTTTTACAGTCTCGAGGGTGGGAAAAAAATCCTTCGTCCTCGCACTTGAAATCTATCGAGACAACGAAACGCGTATTCCTTATTACATTTGTAAAATGAATTTCAAATATCTACCTGTTCCAGGATCGGGAGTGGTCGGGGGTTCCGGGGTAGTCAGTTTATTACTCAACGATTCTTCCTTCGAATCAAGATCCTCTTTACGACGAATTTGCTTTCTGCGATTTCTGCTCGAACTCGATCGATTCTTCGCCCCCCTACTCTTCTTCCTATCTCTAGATCTTTCGCGCTTGTTCGCCCCGTTAACCGCGTTCCCCCTCTCCGAATTTTCCTCTTCCTCCTCCCTCTCCTGCTTCTCCTCGTCCTCGGACGTAGGATCGTAGGATCGTCTATCGACTCGCCCTTCCTCCTCGTCCTGTTCGCTCGCTCTTGGCCGCGTGAACGTTCGATATCTCGGCCGCGAAGAAGAAGTGGGAATTCGATTTTTCGAGACAGGTGTCGCAGTTGTGCCGCCTCGTCCGCCATTTTTCCTTCTCTCTGTATCGCTTCGAGTCCCTTGAACCCGAGACTTCTTGCGGCCCTCGACCGGCTTCGACTTCCCAACGGTGTTCCTTATTTCGATACGAGCAATTCGAAGAATCATCGATGATGATAAATTGAAAAAAATAAATTTTCGTACTTACGTGGCGTCGGACAGGAGGCTCTCTTTCGCCGCTTCGATCAGGGGATACGGCCGATCGTGACATTTCCCCCGGAAATCGTCGTTGTCGATCGTCCAGAACATTATTCCTCCCAACTTCTTCTCGTTCACGTATCTCGCCTTTAATCTCACTATATCCTCGTCGTCGTAACCTACCCACTGATCCCCCTTGAACGCGTAAGGGCCCATCGCGTCACGATTAGGCTCGACCACTTCCCACTCGTCCGATTGCGCCAAGCTCTCGCAAATCTGCGAGATAATAATAATATAACCATCATTCAATTACTCATTCGAGTTTATTTAAAGGGAGAGAAAGGTTTTTTTTTTTTTTTTAAAAAAAAGAAACCTCGTAATAAGCAAGATAGCCTTTCTCTCGAGTAGCGTCGCCTTCGATTCCTGGACCATCTGCCGGTGATCCTAGATCGGTGGCGTCTTGATTGAAAAGCGTGTAAGATCTTCCATACGTGGGAATCCCTAGAATTATCTTCTCCGAGGTGGCACCTTTCTTCAGCAGATAATTAACGGTGTAGTCCTAGTAAAGTGAAGTAATGATAAAATAATAATCGTGATTATCATTAGAAATTAAAATTGATTCGAATAAACGTCGTGTTACGATCGTCAATTCGGTGTCGTAGTTGTACTCGTTGTCCTCCTCCAGGGGATAGAGGGGGGCGTGGTGATTGACGGCAGGTTCGTAAGACGAATGGTAATCGTAGGAGAGGAGATTGACGAAATCCAAGTATTCGTTCAGTCTGGGTATATCGTAACCTTTGTCGATGTACTCGATGCCGGCTGGCATCGCCAACGTCAGCAAAAGTCTCGGCCTTCCGGTCTTCGAAGCCTCCCTCTCGAACTCCTCCCTCAGTTCCTTCGAGATACGAATCAATGAGAGAAAGAGAGAGAGAGAAAGAGAGAGAGATATTTGTGTGTGTGTGTGTGTGTGTGTGTGTGTGTGTGTGTGTGTGTGTGTG